GTGATGTGAACATTTCGTGGGCTGTCAGACCACTTAGGTTATTTCCTAGCCAATTATGGATCCGGCATGAGTAGTCGAATTTCTCAATTCCATCGATCAATGTACACGGACTGGTAGTGAGTGAAAGGGTTAGAGGAGGGAGGACTCGGAGGAGGGAAAGGGAGGGGGAAGAAGGAGTCGAAAGGGCATTTGAGCTCACGGTTAAGAGTTCAATATCAAGGGAAGGGTGGGGGCGGAGGGGATAACTGAGAAGGTGTGTAGATATGAGTTGGTAAGGTTAGGTACAGGTTGCGTTCAAACCTGATAACTGTCCGGAATAAGAAGAAAAAAACACTACATTTGGAAGCTAAGATATCAGCAAGCAAAAATCAAAATTGGACTGATGGGAAATCACTTTTTTTGGTAAGAAAAACACACTCACACACACGCACACACACACACAAATGGACAGAAATTTGACAAATATCAAAGACAGTTACAAGATAATTGGTATATGAACAGGTGAAAAGTGGAGCCGTTGACAACAATATGTGTGAGCGTGTGTGTGTGTGTGTGGGGGGGGGGTGCATAGAAATAGCCTGGTTCAAGAGAAATTGTGCTGACGAAATAAAAGATGACAACTCAAATGAAGAATAGGGTAGATCGACGAGAGTGACGAAGAAGAAGAAAGAGACAAGCATAACAGATTATCAGAATTCAGAAAAGTGATGATGTAATACTACTAGTCGATTGATATAATCAAGTTGTCAGTCAATATCTGACCAATTATCGCACCATGTTGATATCTGCGGGGTTTCTTTGGGGGGTTTGAGTCAAGCGCAGCAGCGGCTTTGGGGTACGAAATGCAAAATAATCCTGAACAATTACACGAAATTCACCAAGTCATCGTCCCTTTGACGAGACAATTCACTTATCAATCGATTGCCATGTGTCATGAAGGCGAACAATCGTAGCATTCTTATGAATAGCTATAACAAGATTTCATTCTCACGCATGCACGCCACGTCACAGTATAGACTGACATTTTAGCTTTCGAGACAGTGGGGTAGCCAGCGAGAGGAAGTGTTTGGCTGGCCCTGTCCAGGCCGGGGGCCAGCCTGTTCTCTCCAGTGAGCCAACCGGTATCTAGCTGTTAGATATTCATCGTCTCCAAGGTCTCTACTTTAATAGTTTTGTTCTGCAGGTATGTTCTTGTCCTGGGCAAGAACTCATATTCCGAAGGCTGGATATCACTTCACAGAACATGGTGCTTTGATGGCAAAGAGCTAAACCCAGTCCAGGGTATTGAAGATGGCAGTGCATAGAAAAATAGTTTTTTTGTTTGTTACCCTTTCCCTTTAGACCTGCTTTTGCTCGATGATGAAGAAAGAAAGTTTTTCATAAACATGCATTTTGTTTCTTATAAGTAATGATCTACTGGGCCTCTCTCTAATTCTAATCAGGTTTACTTAACATGATTAAACGGGAAAAGAAAGCTTATTTGTGATTGGCTTACCCGATATGAGATATTTCCTTATAATTGAGTTTATCAGGCTCCAGTCAAATAGTACTAAAATCACTTGACTGAAAGCTTTCAGTTAATGAAATCTGGAAATGAGACTTTAGATTGAGAGAAGATGTCTAAAGATAAAGAAATCCTTCATGACCATAGGCGTATACATGCAACCTAGGGAGGATGGGGCGTTTACCCCCTCTCCGCTTGTTTTTCATACGAAGGAATATGTAAAAGTACAAAAGAACAAAACAACCAACATTTATGACAGTGCTGTGCGAGCGTTAATTAAATCATTTCATTATCTGCCCTAATCAAGCGCCAGAAAATTCATCGCAATATTTGAATTGTCCATTTTCCACTCACTTTCTGAGTGACGTCACTCTTTTACTCCATGTGCGCCAACAACTGCGCCATTGACGTCCTGCGCCAGCAAAATGACGTACCTTAATCTTTGTTTACGATTTTACCTTCGTGTTCCGTAAGCAGTGATTCAGCTTGAAGGAGAACATTCCAAAAGCATTATACAAGAAGTCGATCAAAATTTCTTTCTTTATTAGTGTGACATTGATTGAAGGCAGTGTACCTGTACCACAATGTGTACAACGTGACCGCTCAATAATATTATCGATTGGTAGATCAATAGGGACCTACTAAGAGATGCACATTCCATTGACTCAAGCCTATAGGTAGTGATTGCAGGGCCCTCGGGGAGAACACTATTAATGCTGATGAAGCTACCCTGGGGGAAATGGGACATTTTATTATTATTATAATTATCATAAAAAATAGATATTAATCTTGCTCATTCTTAACCACCTTAGTCGATGATTATTTTTCATTTGCCGACCTCGCTAGGTCATGATTAGCTGACACCAGACTTGGTGGAGAAAAACATTAATGGATGTACAAGTCTCGCACACAGCAAACCCGTAGTCCCATCAAGAAATTCCCGCAGTCTCTCGAAGAGTCTTCGGTTGAGGAAAAATATAAAAATAATGACTTTTCTGTATAGGGAGATTGGTGGAAAATGCAGAGCATTACATACATGTAAGTCCTGTTGGTCATAAACCAAAAGGCTACTTCTGGTGATTGACATCACCTGTTATCGGGTAAACACTCAAATGGCGTCGAATTCCCAATGAGAGCCCACTACTATGCGTCTTTAATCTTATCTAGTAGCAGAAATGTAGTATTTATACTACAAACAAAATCAAAGCTATAAACCCAAAAGCGTTTTTTTTTAGTAATTTGTTTATGACCCGAAAATGAAAGAGACTATAGAATAATGTGACCGAAGAGCGCTGTTTTTGTTAAAGAACATTTTAACCCTCTTTTGTGGTTTATGTGTATGTGTGTATGTGCGTGTGTGTGTTTATGTCTTTGATGGACATTTCATTTTAACCAAATTATTGGCGACCTATCGCTATATAAGTAATGTGTACCCGCAAAATATAATCGACAGGACATAGTTAATTATTAATACCTAAGACCATTACGAGGTATAAAATATGAAGTATATAACCAAGTAGTACATGATACGAGTTACCGGTTACATGGTCCATCATATAAGATCCATAACTGCCCCGAATATTATGTTAAGGTTATGTAATTTTTCAGCATTGAAACAGTGTGCAGTTACAATAAAAGAGTGTACCTTTACAAGTTTTATGTTCAACTTGATCACGTTTTGAATCGGTAAAATCAAGGGCCTGACCACAATCACATTAGACATCGTTTGACCAAATATTGTCTGCTTCATTTACTACCAAACAGAGGCGAACGGGGCTCAGTTTTGTGGGAGCACATCGTAATTACATTTTAGCGTACAACTTCTGCTTCTTTTCATTACCTAAATGGGGGAGCGGAAAGAGTTTTATTCACCCAATATCCGTTATGATGATATAAAAATCAAAAGTGCTCTGGCGAAGGTTATGACATAACTATGATGATGAGTGTTAGAAAATGTCAATATTATTGAATGAAGCAAATAATGGATATCAAAGTAAATAATAGGATAGAGCAGATGGAATAAGAAACGTGTGCTTCTCCCCATACACAATTCTACCCTAACTTTAGTATGTTAAGTGTCTGATATTCTCAGTAATTTGTTTTAATTGAATGTAATACTAACTGGTCCTAGAAAGTATTCACGTTTTCCATATTTTTCCAATCCTCGTTTGAGAAAAAACATAAACAAACAAACACACCACCCCCCTAAAAAAAAAATATATATATATATATATCACAACCACCGAGTCTCGTTTCATACTAATGAATTGAGCTTGACGAATATTGCGGTTTAGAAAAAGTTTTGACGATTTTCCCACTTTCTGACATCTAGATCCAGTGCCTTCTACTTTTTTTTGGTGGGGGGGGGGGGGGGATTCAATAGCCGATATCAGGGGATTATTGACATTGAATGTTTTTTGCGGTTGACCATAAATCTTTATGTAATGAGCTACTTGGTTCCGTCAAATTATTGGGGAAATGCTTTAAAAGTTCTTCCGTTTTCTCTCTGACAGTTTAGTCATGAATAAGGATTTTGAAATGTTATGACTCCATGTTGGACTGATGGGGGTTGGTGGGTGAAGGAAGGAGATGAGACGACTTTCAACCCTGACCATATTCGTCAAAGAGGGATTAGATTTGCGATTGGGCTGTGGTTTAGGTTGGTGTTAGGATTGGTTTTAGTGTATGATCCAGGATTGAAGTTGGGTATTTGTTAGTGTGGTTGAATGGTTTGGGTAGAAAGTGGACCCTGGAGCAATGTTCACAAGAGCGTGTGTCAAGAACCGGGGCTGGGGCGAGGGGGGAGGGGGGGGGGGGGGGAGTGGTGAATGCCCTCTATTTGTTAGGGTTCCCCTCTAGGATCCGCCCCTTTAGAACCTAAAGGCATCGTATGTAAGGTCATCGATCGTGCCATCTTTCTCAAGATTCGTGGAGGAATTATCAAATTTCTCCCGGGAAACGGCATTTTTAATTACAACGAAGAGTGAGGCACGGTGAAATTTAATTATTCGGGCGTTTAACATTACCCCCGTTTCCAAGCTTTTAAAGCTTATCTGCCATAGTTTACAGGAGGGATTAGACCGCCCTGCAAGGTCACTGGACAGGTGGTTATCTCATCAACTCAACTCTCAGTTAACATAAGAAAAAGAGGATCATGGGGGACTAATGGTCACCGATTAGGCATTGTTTGTTATATAGAGGGCGCAAGTAGCTACAAGTAGTGCAGAGGGCCTTTAAAGAGAGGCTTTGGAAACGATGAAATTCGAATGAAAATCTTCATTACGCCCTCTCTGTTGAATTATGCATAAAACTTGACGCTTGCGTCGTACATTTTTCTCTCGTTAACTTTAAAGATATTGATATATCGACAATACATATATATATCTACAAATGTTAATGAACTATCCAGAAAGTTTAACGATAATAAAGTAAGACTAATTATAGTGGGCATCGCTAATTTCCAATTTTCTTTTCTTTTTGTCTCATTTTTCTCCAGGAATTTTATCTTCAATGTGATTTCTCAGGGTCGTGCTAACAACACATTCGCTCGGCTTGAAAGAGGAGAGATTACAGTCACACAGGTATAGCAGATTGATTTGCTTAGATTGGTTTGATTTGATCAATGAAAGCAACAAAGATATCATTATTCTGAATAGGATCTACGATTTTGTCATATGTTAGTAAAGAGTTCAGCATTACAAATCACTTTTGTTCAATTGTTCATTTCTCTTGTTATACTTTGAATGTAGTACTAAATTGTCTGCACTAATTAACTTGTCTTCTATATATCAAAATATGATTATCATTATGAAATAATATACATTTCACTTAAATCTAGAATAATTATCCTTTCGTTGTGCCAAGATAGAAGTTTAGTTTTGACTTTCCCCAGTTTCACGACCACACCCTTCTCAAAAGTGCACTCTCATTTATTTCATCATCGGTTGATAGTTCCAAATTAACCAACTCCTGATTTAATACAACTGATAATCAATTGATTTGAACAGCCTAGTTGTATTAATTAACAGTCCAAAGAATCTCAAACGAATTTATTTAATTGACCAAAGTAAGACTGTAAAATAGCATGCTCACGATGGTGAAAGCCCACCTTCTCCATGCTGGTAAATGTGCAAGTGATTTTATATTTGGGTTCTATTTTTAATGGTGTAAATATGACCTTTTTCACCGCTAATAGAAAATTCATATTTCCCTTTTTGAAGGAAGAGGGTACTTTCGGTTATTCATAATCCATTACACGTCAATCTTAACGTGAGAATATGGTAAATGTGTGTCAAAGGGCACTGGTCAGGCATGAAAAATGGAGAATGAAAAGGAAATGAAGAAGTAGGAATGAATAGGACGCAAATAGAAACATCATAATCACAATCATAGTTTCCTTTGTGGGAGAGCGAATAGTTCTCCACATCCTTAACCACAAAATGTCGATGAGAAATTATTAATGCCTTTCACAAAGGGCTTAATGACTCGACACGTTAAAACAATCAAGGAGAAGGAAGGGAGCATTCCAGGAGTAAAAGCAAGAAATGAAGAGATGTCAAATTTTACAAAAGATATCAAGACTTAGATAAATAGTGAATGGAGAATGACAGAAGAAAATGTATTTCTTAAATTTGTTTTAAATGCTTACAATTTATTTGTAATGTTTTGTTGGAAACATGAATAAATTTGAAATCTTTGAAATCTTTGAAACATTCTGTTAAGAGGAGCAAGACGATTAATAAGTGTAGGATGAATTCTAAAGCCGTCCCAAAACGAGGGGGAACTTTTTGTTTAATATTGATTAGCTTCTTTAGAAGAAGAGGAAGATGGAGAGAAAAGAATCAAGATTCAAGGGTGTATGAAGAGTAGAGTTTGTGGAACTATTTAACTAAATTTCCTTTGTTCAAATCATTCTTCTTCCCCTTTCAATTCCTTTTCCTAGTTTGCTACAGAGTTTGAGCAGGAATGCAGGCGGGTGGCGGAGGCACAAAGTCTGGTAATACCTGATAGTTTCAGCGCTACTGAGATGGTTAACTTCAAGGATCCGGATCTTATTCCTGAGATGCTGAACGCTGTAGCCGTGCTCAAAGAAAACGGTAAGGAACAGAAGCAACAGACAATAAATCTCATCTTACGATAATGAAATTTCTAAAGATATCACCCGATAAATGTAATATACATTTATATTGCGCCAATTAGAATCACAATTTGGCTAATTGCCAATGAACTATCGGCTGTCTTCAGCGCGTATTGTCTTGTTCGCATTCAAAATACTAATGTACCGGTATTGATTGTTAATGTCAGATACGAATTCGAAGCAGCGAATTGTACCCGTTTTAAACAGAATGCGAAAAACATAAACGATTATGCTTGTGTTTTGGATACTTTCAGGCTATATGGACACAACTTCGATTAATTCGTCGAAACTTTGTTTGCAAACCCAGTCCACACCATTCTACAGACATTAGTTTGTTAAAAAGTATAGATGTTTGGAATTTACTGGAAATAAATCAATAAGAACCCTTTGTGAACAATTCATGTATCTTACAGAAATTGTGCATGATACGAGGTCAAAATCATCTGGCGATCAAAACACTAACACAGTAACACTACTGGCATATTCCTAATGCCACTGATCTGGATGCATATGTATATATATATACCTCAGTAATTAATTTGTCACGTTTTGTCAAATAAATGTCAACATTTGAACCAATCTGAACCAAACGGCGACAAAATATCACAGGAAAAAACTATTTTAGGGTAGGAAACGGACTTGCGAGGCTTTTAACTACATGGCCAAAGTGATGTTTCTCCATGCTCTAGGCATTGCCGGGTGACTACGCACTTTGTCCACTTCGTGTGGAGATACTCTTTAATTACCATAGGAAATACCTGATTGGACGTAACCTTCGACACTTTTTTCCTTGTAAAAACACCTCTTAATTTCATGACAGCTCCAATTTACATTGACGTCTTGCTGGCTGGGGCCAGTGATAATATACAAGTGTGTTATAGGGCGCATTTTACGACTTTCTTTAAAGGGGAAATCCAACCTAGACTTGATTGTAAACTATTCTAAAAGAAAGCATAAAACATCAAAGAAGCACACTGATGAAAGTTTGAACGAAATCGGGAACGAAAGGAGAAAGGGATGCGTTAAAAAAAAGTTGTAATCATTATGTATAGGCTAAATCGGCAATTGCCTTGTGACGAAGTGTCGGACAACCTTCTTTATTTATTCCAACACATAAAATGACTTAAATGACATTTTTCTAAATTGCAAGACCCAGAAGGGTATTTAATTTTAAGAAAACCTTTAAGATATGCTGCTCATATATTTGACATTGCCCCGAGGGAGAATGTGAATGTGAGAAAAACAGGAATTTATGGTATTTGTGTACACTGCGAATGCGAGATTTGTTCGTGAATACGTCACAACCCATTTAAAATCTGCACAGATTTAGTGATCTCACATTTCAAACACTCATAACTTTCTTATTATCGATTCGATTTATTTCAATCTTTCGCCATTCTGTTTATCGTATTTTTCCGCTTTCATACAAAAGAAATTATTACCAGGGTTTTGGATTGCCCTCAAATTTATTTCATGAATGGCTTTCAACTCCGCTTAAGTATTGCCGTAAAAAATACATAGCCTAATATTTGCTCGGCTTGCCAAAAAAGATTGACAGAAATAGGCCCATTAGCTGAGGTGGGATGTCTGAATGTACCTTCTACCTGTCTTGTTTTCTGATTTTGCAAAGAGTGGGAACATGAAGTGGTTTAAAAAAAATGATTACTTGATTAGTACATCCATTACTCGTAACTAAAAATAAAGCTAACTCTTTTTGAACTATTACCTCGATGACGTAAATGAGTTTGCAGGATGTTAATCCGATTAGATCTCCTTTTCTCATGATGTCACACTTTTCATCTTCTGTCATACACATTTCTGTTTTGATCGTTAAAAAATCAAAGAGAAATTGTTGGCGCGTCATATCGCGATTCAAATCTTTGGAAAAGGAAAATGGACTCTTCGTCATCTGTCATCGAGACTTGATCGAATCGAATTAAAATCTTACCGCAAGATTTCACCACAGAGATGATCCATTGTGGAGAGATAAATTTTGCTTTTACGTCATTTGATCTTTTCAATTATCTCTCATTATAAATTGAATCATTTAACCAATGATTGATTGAAATCAAAAGAATTGTCAAAATAAAAAAATACTTCTCTAAGTGAAGTATATCCCTGATGATTTGGTGATTTGCTTTACACTACTCCCTTTGAATTTGATACTCTAATTTAAAGGCATTTACTATCTGTCGGTGGTTATGCGAAATTGTGGAAGTAAGTCCTGACCCGAAATTGATACAAGCAATGATGTCTGTAAACTGAACCTTTAAGAAAAACACAGATTAGCCGTATATCGACAGGCTCTATTATACCCACGTTTAAAGGGCGTTGCAAGGATTTGCTCGGTAAAATTTTAAAACTTGTAAAAGGGCCGAAATCTCGTTAAAAAAAATCATAAACGAAAACTTTCCGAAATGCATGGTGGCGAAATATAAATTACTAAAAAAGTTACATTGTTTTTCCTTTCAAATTTGTAATTTGCAGCTGGCAGTATTTTATGCACCTTTTTTGTTGTGTACACAATGAAGGCTTCATTTTTCACGGGTAAAGAGAAAACCACAGAGTCTTTTGATCTCAGATTTTGCACACTAGTTTTATAAACTCATTTTGATGCTACAGATACTTATTTAGTTGATTTTTTAAGGGCTTGAAAATCCCTTAAAACGAAGGGGGGAAACGATGATAAAACACAAAGTTGCAAAAACGAAACATTTTAATTGCGGCTTCGTGAAGGTATAATTATATTGGGTGAAGGAAAGGTTGAAATAGGGGAATCGCTGGAGAAGGCTTGTGGGTGTGGCATGAAATATTACCCCAATCCTTTTCTAGTTCTGCCAGCAAATTCATAAATAACTTCCTGCAAGTTAGTCAATAGAATTATTTTTCTCTTGCTCTTTTTGTTCTTTTTGCCGTTGTATCTTCAACACTTTCAGCAAAATTTGACCCTCACCTCATTAAAACATTCATCGGCGACTTTAGTTAGGGCATTAATTTTCGCTAGTTTAAAAAATCTGAAATTTTCGAAACGTCAGTAGACGCCTTACTTAACAAAAGTGTCACGCCCTGTCTGGCTCTTTAACAGTTGGTAGTTTCATTAGCCTATATTCCAAAATAAAACGTCTATTGGTAATTAGTTCTCCAAAGGGAGAACTCCAATACGACAACTGACGTGTATAGTGCCTCATTAATCTCTACGTAACACCTGAATCATCGGTGGGGGGGGGGGGGGGGGGGATCGATCCAGAGAATGAGTTCTCACTTTTAAGAAAGCAAGACAAATGATCGAGGTAATGCTCAGTGGACAGGGCGATGGTCTTGGATTTGGTGTTCTAAGGTTCTGGACCAAATCGATGCCCTGGTACCCATAGACTCAAAATAGATTTTATTATAATGTCTGTAGTCCTGCGGATAGGACTCAAGGCTGTAAGCATTCTGACATTATTCTTTTAAACTGTGAATTTTATAGATTTACACTGCGACAACAACAACGGTTCTACAACACATGCCCTTGCGAATATTGCTTCGCAGACAATTTAATATTTTACAAGCAACCTAACCCTAAAACCAATTCTATAATCCCATATCTCTGACGAGATTATATAGAGTCTCGCCGGTGCAAATGTCGGTTCACCAGAAAAACATTAAAGCGGTGCTACTGAGTATAAATTATATTTATGAAGGGATGTACAAAACAGAAAACGAGAATAAACAATCAATCGAATCACGTTTTGTTCTATTTGTTTTCCTTTTTTTATAACAGGGGTGCAGACATGCGCACTTACCAATAACTACATCGACAACACCTCGAACCGAGCCTATGCAGCAGGCGGATTAACGGCTTTCACCTTCTACTTTGATGAGTTTGTCGAATCATGTCGGTTAGGTATCCGAAAACCTGATCCCAACATATTCCACGAGGCTTTGGCGAGACTAGGAGCCGAAGCCAGTCAGGTATGAGACACCCCTTTCTTTCCTTCCCCTCCTCCTTCCCCTTCCCCTCCCCCCTCCCCTCCCCCTCCCCACCCCATCCACTTATTTTATATGACCCCTTCTCATGTTCCGACACCCAACGAAATTTCAGTCAGTCTTTGTCTGTAATATTTTGTCCATTACATATCGGCATAAACGTATCAACAGGATACTTCATTTAAAAGTTAAACATTTTATTTACCCATATATTAAGCAACGTTAAGCAACATTAGTACTAAAAGGAACATTAAGAATATTTCATGGGATTCGATTTAACAGATTGTGACCGAACTCTAAACGGCGAAAGTTAATCTTTGAAAATTCTTTGATTTCGTTCTTTACGTATAAAAAAAAAATGTGCACATACCAAATTAAATAAAATTCCCATTATTAGCGTTAAATTATCATTCTATGTATTTAGGAACGGGTATGAGTTATACCTTGCATACCTACATGTTTTAGTTTATCAAGTACGAAATCCAGATATTTTACGCCTGTATTAAAGTATTACAGACTTCTCATATTACATGCCCCATATACAATTTCTGGCAAATGTATACCTATGAGTTATACCTAAATCATTCAAGATGTTTGACCTATAAGTCCTATGGAGCCAATTGTAATAAATACTCTTTTATAAGCTCAAATGTCGACACATCAGTGACGAAGTGATTGTCAGAAGTGCGAACACGTCGTGTTGTGTTGCCAATTTAATGCCACTCAAAAAGAGAAAGGATCCCCGCAGGTATTTCAACACAAAAACAAAGTGACAGTTGTCCTCCTTCAGTCATATATAATAAAATATAACCCAATAAATACGTATAATTTATGTTGTAGAAATCTGTTTCTCGTGAAGAAAATAAGTTTTAATGGCTAGACGGTCGTGACCAGCCTTTTCTCTTTAGAGATCACGGCGAAGATCATTTTGGCCAAGCAACGGCTGTTTAATCGTTACCATGGTTATCTAGCTCCCCCACTCTGACATATGCTTGATGCGCTTAACCTACGATTTAAACTCGTGCAACCACACAGAAATACACCTTTCGAAGTTATGTTTATTCTCGATTCTAAATACTCCATAATTAATGATAATGTCGTATTAAACAATATTGACTATCTATATCTTTTAGAAACTATATGCACTTTTATATTGATTTATCGGTATATTTCGGTTGTTATGGTAACTGTGAAATGACATGAAGACATAGAATATATCGCATGTTTAGCATATAATGACTTCGAACTAAAACATGTATATCCATCATTCCATCTCTGTAGGATTTAATCTTAGAGTGAAGATTTGTATTACAAAATATATAAAACTTTATGCCACTTTGATAAATGTTTAAAATATGATTGAACATCATGCTTTGCAGCTATCTAGTTTCTCTTGTTCTTACGGCATCAAATGTTGTATTTGTTTACAAAGACTATGGAAAAACCACATGAAACCAACAAACAAATTTATCAAGTTGGGACTACAAAAACTATATTACGAAGTTTAACCCCTCCCTTTCCTTGTAAAGCTCAGAGGGATTTAATTTCATAACCATTTTGATATTTACTGACAGGCAAGGAAACAGAATTAGATTCTAACCTCAATGTTTGTGTTGGCAGCCTTTGTTGGCATATTAGTTTGATTAGCGTTTCTGATTATGTTATTGGTGTTATGTTTGTCTCGTAACTAATAGCGATACGTAGACGGGGAGGGAGTTAACCGTGACTATAACGTTTTAGAGTGTATGTGCGTGTGTGTGTGTGTGTGAGCGGGGGCGGGTGGGTGGGGGGGGGGGTTGTGATACATTAAGACAAAAAACATCCAAAGTGTTTGGGGCATCTACGTTACTCATAACAGAAAGCGCCGCATGAACTTACTGTAGGTATTAACAAAATATTAAAAAATTGTACTGATTTTAGTATGTTCTCCTGTAAAGGCAAACAGAAAGTACCTCTTTCCACGACATCAGTAATATAATTAAGTAGAGAATATATTTTATTACAATATAGTGAATGTTTTTCTAATTTACATTTATTACTTATTTAGCGTCTAACTTCTTTCCTTTTCTATACATGTACTGGTGGAAGTGGTTATTGTATTAATTCCATATTTATGCGCATGAAGTGCATGTTTGAAAAGACGATATATAGATGCATAAAAGAAAAAAGTAACAAAAGTAAAAATGAAAAAAATACAACCCCTTTAAATCCAAAGGAAGGCTGTGTTAAAAGTATTGCAGTACGTCCCTGAATACGTTGGTCAAACGTGACTAAGTTATTATAGGATTTATTAACCAAAAAGAAGTCCTTGATGGTAAGCACCAAAAAAGAATTAAAAAAAATCAACAACTAAAATTAAACAATAATATAATAACAAAAACAACAACAACATTATTTTGCATGTGAACTATGCTATGAAGAGCATGATTTTATCCCAGCATTGAAACGATAGAAGAATCTAGACATCCAGAAACTGAGTGGGGGGAATCAGTTGGCTTGAGAAAGTCCACTGGATGAAAGCTTGTCTACTAAATCTTAAAGGGATCGGGTAACTTTGTCTCAGATTCTGAAACAAAATTCTGGATTTAGCTCATGCTGCAGTTATAATTATAAACCTTTGGGTCAGTCAGGAACCCAATGACTTTTACAAGCCGATCCCCTGTCTGATTATCAAGATATTTATGATTAGAATTACAAATTTTAAAAACCGTTTGCTAAACGGTTTTCGCAACACTACAGTCTACTGGGGAAAACGAGTATGGTAAAACCGGTCACTCAAAGATTTTTACTTTTTTGAGGCACTTCTTGATCATTTTGAAGCGCAATTTTTTTAGGGCTTCAATATTACACCATATCACTGACACTGATAACACGTAGGGCCGTGTATCTCAGATTTAACATTGTTAAACGATCCCTTCAATGTTGGTAGAAGCCTAAATTTATAACACATTCTTAATAGTCTTGTGTCCATTACATCATTCTTCCATTTAGGCTGTCTTCTTAGATGATTCTGAAGTGAACACAAAGGCCGCTGAAGCTCTTGGGATAACAAGCATCTTGGTTCAGGACCCGAAGACTGCTCTAGAACAGCTCAAGATCGTCACTGGCATCGATGTAAGTTCAACATGAAAAATAAACATCATTTTCTAAAAACTCTTTGTCAAATAACTACATTTATCTTAATTGTGTGAATGTGTGAAGGAGAGGGAAAGGGGGATGAGAACGAGAGAAAGAAAGAGATTCAATTTTCAATTTCAATTTCAATATATTTATGCAACCATTATAACAATTTCAAGATTAACAAAAACGGTAACAGCAATGAAATTGAGAAAATATTGAGAACAAAATAAACGATTGGGAGATGGAAAGTGAGAGAGAGAGAGAGAGAGAGAGAGAGACAGAGACAGAGAGAGAGAGAGAGAGAGAGAGAGAGAGAGAGAGAGAGAATGTGTATGTGTTTGTGTGTATGTGGCGATGTGGATGCATGTTTGTGTTTGAAGGAAACAATAAGATATAAACTGAAAAAGATTGAAAGAGAGAGAGAGAGAGAGAGATATAGAGAAGGGACAGAAAGAGATAAATGAAGCAAGACAGGGAAAAAGAAAATGTGGACATATCATTCGTACGAATGTATTTATAAATTCACACCAAAGAACACCAGCATACTGCTTTTGAGAATTCATTTTTCATGGACAAGTTACACCTTACACGGATGATTGTATGTAAAGCATACTTTGTAGAGTGTATCATCTTTTATGTTAATTCCATGAATCATTCAGCTTCTACAAAAGATACCTAATAATCTTACCCATTGGTTCTGAATCAATGAACACAATCCAACTTGATTAAAGTGACCTTAGAGCATGATGACCATTGGCCAGAAAGTTATACCCATGTCACTGATCCTTGAAAAGTTATATCTTATCACGAATGATTGTTTGTAAAGCATACTTTGTAATAATAATAATAATACACAATATTTAAAAGCGCTTAATACTGGTGTCTCAAAGCGCACCATATTCTGACTAAAAAATTATTTACCAAAACTTATATATAATAAACACACAACTTATACATCTGTTCTTTATTCAATAAATCATGCATATAAAATGATAAAAATAAGAGTGAGATCAAACATACATACATGAGGTCAAACATAAGATCGAACAAACAAGAAATAAGACGGTGTGCACCTCCTTTGTAGAGTGTGTATCATCTTTTATATTAATTCCATTTATCATTGAGCTTTTACAAAAGAAACCTAATGATCTTACCCATGGGTTCTGAATCAATGAACACAATCCAACTTGATTAAAGCATGGACCTACTGATTAAAGTGACCTTAGAGCATGATGACCATTTGGCCAGAAAGTTATACCCATGTCACTAACCCCCCGGCACTGACCCTTACAAAGTTATATCTTATCACGGATGATTGTATGTAAAGCATAATTTGTAGAGTGTGTATCATCTTTTATGTTAATTCCATGAATCATTGAGCTTTCTGAATCAATGAACACAATCCAACTTGATTAAAGTGACCTTAGAGCATGATGACCATTGGCCAGAAAGTTATACCCATGTCACTAACCCTCGAAAGGTTACTTATCACGAATGATCATATGTATAGCATAATTTGTAGAGTGTGTATCATCTTTTATGTTAATTCCATGAATCATTGAGCTTTCTGAATCAATGAACACAATGACCTTAGAGCATGATGACCATTTGGCCAGAAAGTTATACCCATGTCATTCACCCCCGGCACTGACCCTTTGAAAGGGAAAACCCCTTGTCTTGTATATTTCCCATGTGTACCATAAGAAGTAACATGATGTCCGCTACGTCACAATCAATTGTCATTTTCTTTCTTAGGTCTTCAAGCAGGCGGGACCGATTACTGTTCACCCGGATGAAGTCACACACAGTTACGTCACAACCAGGGTAAGGTCACGAATCCCCATGAAACAAAATGCATTCTCATGTAATATGTTACGGGACCTGGATATATTATGATGATTATTCAGCTCACTGTCGATCAGTCATCGTATTAAGCCGTTGACTACTGAATTGTATAGGTCCTATATGCTTAACACAGGGACCACCAGGTTCCCGTAAGCAAAGGGTTAATTTATTTATCTTGTTCATGAAGGGAGAATTAATCAAGCAATTTCCTGTACCGCTATGCACATCTCTTTCTTTATGCGTATCATTTTAACTACTTAGACTTGTACACAAATCATGTATATGAGAATGTGTTTTGTCTCGTTTATTCGTTTAAGCCTGTCTGCACTAGTTTGGCCAGGATGGATTAAACCCCCCTGCGTGGTCACCGACAGGTGGTTATTTCATAAAATCAGCTCTCAAGTAACATAAGAAAAAGGGGACCATGCGGGACCAACGGGTGCCTCTTAGGCATTCTTTGTTATATAGAGGGCGCAAGTAGCTACAAGTAGTGCAGTCCCGCTTTAAAGGAAACATCTTAATGAATCCATCAGCACATCTATACTTTAGTCGAAAAATAGAGAGACAAAAGAAACCATAATCATTGCAAAATCGTATTGTTGGTAACAAAATAACGATAATGTATAGTATAATTTATCATTAAATCTCCCGATGCTTATCAAGCCAGGATTTAAATATAAGATTTGTTCGGACCTCCTTCTCCTTCTGTAATTTACAAGGTCTGGGACTCATTATTTATTACTAACCGTCCTAGATTAAATCAAGATATATCGCGTTCCACATCTCGCTATCTAGATACATTTTCTTTGTTTGATATTGTTTTTATCACTCTCTCGTGGGTGACAATGCTTCATAATGAAATAAGAATTATATATTCGTTTCCATCTATAGATAACGATCGATCCGTTTTTATGAAGTTTTCTCGCCAGGGAGCTGTTTCCTTTTAAGCCATGGACGTGAACTTTTAGCCCAGTTAACTTAGGTTCCCTTTAATTCCCAAATGGGGACACAACTATTATTCACTGTGGTTATTCCTTAATAAATTATATGTATGATGATTAAACATTGGAGTTTAAGGGTGTATTGCATTTGCATTGAATTTCTGACGCATTAAGTAGAGATGCAAATCGAGGTTTTTACGGAAATATGTATTTGATTTTGTTCTATCTTTATCCAAAATCGTATTTATCAACATATCTAGGTAGCCTGTTATTCGCTGCCTCGAATATTTTCCCACTTTTTTTATGGTGCATTTTTCACCTACGTTTGGAACCGAATGAAAACTTTAGGGATTATTGGACAACATGCATACATAATTACAGTTGCTATTCCGCTGATACATGGTTGTCAAAATCATAAAACCCATTTCTCCATTCTCTGCGGCTTATATGACTTAACACGATCGCGAACTTTTCATGAAAAATCGAGGGCAATAGATGCATAGTTTCGGCAAGGGAGGAAGGTGGGGGGGGGGGCGCTAACGTCTCTTGCCTAATTATAAACTTTCTCATTTCCACAACGTAATTTCTTCTGACATATACTATTTGTTTTATCAGTGTTAAAGGCATCGTTTAAGAATGTTAAATCTGAGATGCACGGCCCTACGTGTTATCAGTGTCTGTGGTATGGTGTAATATTGAAGCCCTAAAAATATCGCCCTTCAAAATGAACAAAAAGTGCCTCAAAGAAGTAAAAATCACTGAGTGACCGGTTTTACCATACTCGTTTTCCCACAATAGACTGAAGTATTAGGAACACCGTTTGGCAAACGGTTTTCAAAATTTGTAATTCCAATCATAAATATCTTGATAATCAGACAGGCGATCGGCTTGTAAAAATCATTCCTGACTGACCTAAAGGTTTATAATTATCATTGCAGCATGAGCTAAATCCAGTATTTTGTTTCAGAATCTGAGACAAAGTTACCGGATCCCTTTAATTTTAGTCAAAAAAACTTTCTTCATTATCAGAGCTCGATTGCAAGACCCTTTAAAAAACATTAAATCCCAGCGGTCTCTTCAATTGTATTTGAGATGTAAGAACACATCAGAATCGACTTTCATATTTCCCAAAACGAAATTCAGTAATTAAATCAGAAGGAAAGTACTGCTGGACAAAGGAAGTAATCAAATGATGGAAATGGGACGGGCGATGAATAAGTGTCCAGTATAACAGGAAGGGCAACTGTTGATGCAGTGCAGAGACCATTCAAAATTTTAAGAATCTCGAGGCATTTCTTTTTTAAGCAGAAGAAGGTAGTGCTGTCCGCTAGGTGATCTGAAAACGGAAAATACAGTTACCATGAAAGAAAGATTGTTATTGTTTAATCAACCTCACGACTGAAACCGTTAGTGAAAAGAAACAAATGAATCGAATTTTAACTAGAAATCCTGATCTAAATTTGCCATCATCCTCTTTGTTTATAAATACAAGTTATGAGGGTTGCCCGGGGGGGGGGGGGTGGGGGTGGAATCCCTGGTTTGTCTTAGCTGAATAAGATGACACTGTATCCTGTTTTCCTGTCATTCGTTTTTTCATTATCATATAACCCCTTTAATCTTGAGTTTGTTAAAATTGCGACCGTTTTCATATAAACGGTGGTACTTTTATTCTTAACTGTCACGATTATAAAATGAACAAGAGCGCGCTACATTATGCGTAGATTGAATGATTCTGTCTTTGTCGATATCATCCAAACACCTGTCATTAAAATTATGTGGCCTGGGTTGTCTGAGCCATGTAGAGGAACATGTATTCCAATTCCCTTCTCCCTTCGTTCTCTCAACAACTCGTAATCCTACTCCTTTAATCCCATCGAAGATCTAGGAAAGTAATTTCATTTCCCATTGTATTATAAGGAGTGAAAATGAGGGGAACTCGAAGTAGAATTATTATGATCTCGCGTGATTAAAGCTTGCCTGGACCAGATATTCCAGTGCTTCACCATGTGGCATGTAGCGATACTGCACTTTGACATGTTGATTGTTCGTCGCAGCATTGGTCGTGCGCCAAGAGAGGGCATGTCCCAAACACCAGCTGTTATGGCATCTTTTAACTTCCTGGTAATTAGATGATATTAGAACTCTAGCATAATCGGCAGGATTTGGCTCAAATTACACTTCGCGATTCATTACAAAGTTGACACAAATTATTTCACAAAATAGAGAAAGAGAAGGGGGAGCTATCAAATGTCAAAGGAAGGAAATTTAGCATCGAATGTATAATTTACGGAAATAAGGATGCCAATGTTCCCTAGTCCTCTCAAAGGACATGATTGCAGAAACGAAGAAGGAATGGGGCGAGGAGAGGAAGACACGTGATTGGTTGATACACTCACTGTCACGTGATCGTTGTGAAAGAAAAAGTTGGCAACGAAACGTTTCCTCCCTAATCCATATCATGTTCAAAGTTACAACAATAACATAAAGATCTTATTCCTATTTTCAATGCCTACTTGTATTCTAATTATAAATGTTATGAATTTCACTTTGATCATTTAGATAATATCCTCTCAATTCTCTTTTTCCATGTTTTCAGAGTAAAGTTCGGTTTCATTTCACTGAGCTTGGCAGCGGACCTCCCGTCGTCCTCTGCCATGACTTTGAGGAAGATTGGGAAGCGTGGAGAAGTCTGGTAATTATGAAAACAAATAAAATGAAAGAGTTCCCCTTTGGAATTCAATTTCTGAAACAGATTATATGGCGCCATGCAAATGCTGTTCATCATCATCATCATCATCATCAATTTGCAGATATTCTTTAGCTTATGCTAGATAAAAAATGCAACGATACCGCATATCTTTTGTCATCGCGGCCATACGTTTTGTCAGCACTATGCTTACGCTCGATTAACGTTAGATATTCGAGCTTTTTAGGCATCATATTATATTTCTGTAAAAAACTCATTGTAACCAAAATGCGGTGCAAAATTAATCATTCGCAGTTTGCTGTGAAAAAAGTAGCTGTTGACATAATTATTAACCACTTGTTAAAGATTCACTCAAAGACGTTCACAAATATCTTTGTAATTGGTCAACATCTTCAAATGAAATTGTAAGGTATACAGGGCGTGACAAGAATATTTCGATTTAGTTTGACGGTCCGAGTCCGCTCAGAAAGTGCAGACGATCCCTTTTATTTATTTCTCAGACAGTCTTAAGAAACAAATTTCCTAAAACCTAGTTGGAAAAACAAGGGCCCTGAGATGAAAAATCCCTGGAATTTCCGACTTTAATCATGGACGGCCCTGGGCATACACCCTATTAAAGCCATAACAGAAGGGCTTGATCCCAGATCTTAGTTAGACATCTGAGACGGTAGGACCCCCTTGCAACTTGAACTTGGAAGAAACAATTACCGGAAATTGGGGAGCTTTTCTTTCTCTATACGTCATATTGAAGAACTTAACAGCAAGACTTCTAGCGTTGGAGATATAGAACAGAGATAGGTTGAGATGAAAGCCGCATTCACAACGGGTGTTGATGGGCTCGTGGGAAGAAGGTTCGGCAGTTGCGGTTCTACAATAATGTTTTGTTTTTTGTTGTGGGGGGGGGGGGAACTCTTATTCCCCTCTATAGAAAATTGCTGGTTATCAAAAGCAGAACCTTTAATCGAAATTTACGAGTGGTTTCGATTGATTTTTACGAAAGTTTCATGCCGCAAATGATTTAAGTAAAATACTTACAAGTCTGCAATATAGGTTCTTGCCACGACAGTATGCACAACTTTTTGAGTGTAAAGTAATGTATTCGATTGCTTGTGCTTACACTGTTTCGTATATAATTTCTTCGTAACGATGGATAAAGGCTTTAAGAAATTACGATAGAGAGAAGGTAAAAAAGGAAATGTCAGATGTTGTATGTCTTATATTTTGATTGATATATTCACAGAAAATATAATTCCATTCTCCTTGTTCTCTCATCTCACCCTTACCAGATGCCAGAACTCGCCATAGCAGGGTTTCGAGCCATTGCTCTTGATTTGAAAGGCTTTGGAGAAAGCAGCAAACCAACAGGTGGGTATTTTTAGTGGAAACAAAAATAGATAGATAGACAGACAGATAGATAGATAAAAGATTAGATAGAGTTAAATAATTATAATTTGAAAAAATGAGTGAGTGAGTGAACAATAAATGAATAAACAGATAAATTAATAGATATATCTATATGGATAGATAAATGGAAGCGTTGTGTGTTTTCATGAATCACAAGTTTATGATTTGATGATGTAATGATGAAATTTGAGATAGATGATTATCAATTTGATATCTCTTTTTTTCCGATTCAGATACAGAGCAGTACACGTTGAAGATCTTATGTCGGGTAAGTGTTTTGCTCATTTATTGAAATAAGGATAAATCCTGTCCTAATTAAGCATACAATAATCTTTAAAAAGAATGACTAATGGTTAATTAGAAATGGCATCTGAGAAAGAAATGTTTAAGACAGCTAAAAATACTTACACTTTCAAATTTCTTGTTAAAACCTATCAATATATGTCAAACTGTTTTAATGGAAACGTGAAATTGGATATTGTTTTGCTAAATCTTTTTGCAACGAGGTCTGAAAAGAAAGTGTGGCCATATTGTTGTCCGTCGTCACTGCTTAAGAACAGATCGAAACTAGCCACGGATATTGGTGTCACAACAATTCTTATAGTCTAAAATAATTTTATTTGACATTTTGACAAGATGACGGGCTGTACAGGCCATTATTCGTACATTACTATACAACTATTCATGCATAGTTTATCCAATCAGAACGCTGGAAAATGTACAGCCATACAACCATGCAACTATACAACTATTCATCCATTAAATGGATGTATAGTTTTATCCAATCAGAACGCTGGAATTTGAACAGACATACAACTATACATGTACATCCATCTAATGAATGGGGGGGGGGGGGGGTGACATGCTTTCGAATAATATCAATTTCCATTGCTTTTGTCACCCCTGACCAGCAGATTGTATCCTTCTCTCTCCTCTCCACTTTCCTAAAACCGTGTGCATGTATTATGAAATGTCGATGTATTATATGATTGTTATACTCATTGTACGATTTCCGATCGGTCAAATAAATAATAATGATAATAAAAATAATAATATTAGGATTGTAACCAAATCATAGCTTACCGCTACGAGATAAGTGCATGTTTATGTCTTTCTTTGTTTAGTAGTAAAGTCATGTAGGCCTTTCCATTCAATGTTACTGTAACCAGTAGATCTTCAAAAAACCTTGGAAAATTGTATCCTATACGGGTAGTTGGTCATCAATATGAGAGAGAGGGAGAGAAGACCAACACAAAAAAGAGAAAAAAAGAGCATGCCCCTGTCCATATGAACTATTAAACCATTAAACTTTATTGAGATAAAGAGCATGAATATTTATGACATTATTAGGTATTATTGAGTCATCCATGGACATAGATTCATGTCTTTCTTTTTTATTTTCTTTTACAGGATATGACTGAGTTCTTAGATGCGCTGGTAAGAAATAGGATATATTTCATAAACATTACCTTTAACCCTTTGCTTACGGGAACCTGGTGGTCCCTGTATATAGGACCTATACAATTCAGTAGTCAACGGCTTAACAATTTATTAAAAAAAACCACTCGACCTTTACGTGAGCACCATGATAGTATTTTTCCCCTTTACGTTTGTCACATTGCGCGCCATGTATAGTCTGGCTGTGGTCACTGCTAGGAATAATTGATCTTTACCAATTTTTTTTAAATAAAACGTTTTCTAATGTTACACTTCAAAATTTTACCTATCAACGATTTATATCATAAATGAATTTAAATAAATATAAATGATGGATGATTTATACATTATGTCAGTGAGTATTTTTTTAAAGGATAAATTCCATTTTGAAAAATTAGTTGCATCGATATATACTGGTTTAAAACTAAATGGATTCAACCCGTATACATTCATATATGTAGCGTCAAATTACGTGAAATATAGTTTGTTTTGCTTAGCAAAATCCGTTGAATTTGGACCTTTAGAGTTAAGATTCAGTAAGATATACAATATATTAATTGTAAACTCAAAAATACACTTGGGAATGCAAAGTGATTAATTTGATACATTATGGTAAAACCTTGTTGCAAAAATTGATTTGAATTGATTTTTCGTTGTTTACTTCCTTTAATGACATGTTAGCCGATTATCAATGAATCATATTTTATAAGACAATATTGGGTGGTATTTTCTTTTTTTAATAATTTTGTTCCATCGGTTTTGTTATGCTTTCGAATTTGTGAGACATTCTTAGTCTGTTTTTGATTTTGTGTACGTTTGTACTGCCATGGAAGACCAAGTTTATTACTGAATTAATTACCATATCCTTAGATTTGAGACAACTTTATGAGTACTGCCATATTAAAATTCCTAATCCAATCTTTTCTGTCAGTGTCCCTCTCATGTTATCATGCCAGACAGACAAAAGTATTATCAAAGCTATCATTTTTCTCTTGTCAGACATTCAATGATCAAAATCAAAGACAGATGATATTCCCTCCTTTCTTCATTTGGTCAATTTGGGGACAAATATTGTCCGTTTTATGTTATCATGCCAGACAGACAAAAGTATTATCAAATCTATCATTTTCTCTTCTCTCAGACATTCAATGATCGAAATCAAAGACAGATGATATTCCCTCCTTTCTTTATTTGGTCAATTGGGGGGGGGGGGGGGAATATGAATCCAAATCATGAGATAATGTAAAAGGATAAAAATCGCAGACAGAAAATCCCTTCTTTCTTCATTTGGTCAGTTTTGGGGGCGGAAATGAGTTCAAACTAATTATTATGAGACATTATAAAAGGATCAAAATCGCAGATAGACAATCCCTTCTCTTTTCATTTATTCTTGTCATTTTGGGGGCGAAATATAAGCCCATATTATGAACAAGGGAGAAAGAAGATTAAGTTCCTCGGACTAATCTCCTTTTAATCCTATCTTCTGACCCCCAAGGGAATCGCCCAGGTCACTCTTATCGGTAAAGGTATGGGGTCAGCCTTTGCTTGGACATTCGCTAACCATACTACAGACAGAGTTCGGTGAGTAAGCATTTCAAACAAGCCTCTTGAGAAATTCAAACAACCTCTTTCCAATTTTCCTTGAAGTTTTTTTTTACAAGTTTGTGATTATGTTTAATCGTTTACGTCCTGTTACCTTCTAAAAAGCTTAATTAATTGTTGTTTGACAATTATGCAAAGAAGTAATCAAAGTCTCTTTCAATTTATATGATTACTTACAACAAGCTACTTTTCTTTTCTTAATCATCATCCTTCAGAAAGACTCAACTCGTAATTCTCGTTTTAATGTCTTGTGGATTTTACGTTAAAATAAGTACCCCCATTATAATTGAGGTTTTTCGTTTAATAATTACTAATTAATGAGCATGTTTTGCAAAATAGAACATTTGGTTAAAAAAAAAAATCTTTGAAGATCAAATTGGTATATTCCGATTAGGATAAAAACCAAACTGAAATAAATTCGAGATCGTACCATGGCCTATAAATGCTTACAGAATTTCTGTCGTAAAATGAGTATATGTATTAAAAGTGGCGCCAGGCTGATATGCTCCAAAGGGAGTGGAGAATGTACATACATTGTGTGCGGTTATTGTGTGCGGGTGTAGTGATATATCTATAAGCGCGCAGAGACATTGCCGTATTAAGCGCTATATAAACCCATTATATCATCTATTATAATTTGTCATGCTTTATAATTTTTTTAACCCCTTTCTATATGACAGAGCTGTTGCTGGAATCAACACATCGCCCTCTGTCGTCATACCCGATACATTTTATGGTGACCAAATAAAGAGGATTGGGTCTCTTCAGGACTACATCAAATTCCGCCATTGTGTACGCATCAAACTCACCTCAATGATTAATTATATAATTAAAGTAATTGGAATACAAAATTCCGTATATATTCAAAGACAGAGAGTGAGAGAATTATAGATAGAGAGATGTAGAGATTGAGAGAAAGGGAGAGAGAGAGAGAGAGAGAGAGAGAGGGGGGGGGGGGGGGGGGGGGGGGGAGGAGGGGCCGGAGGGGAGAAACAGGGGTGCGTGACATTCTCATTTAATATTTATTTTCATGTTTCGGTCTGGATTATTTATATCTCCATTCTTTTTGTTTTCAAATTCAATTACAGTTTAAATTGATAATTGGTATTTGGATCTATGTTACTTTGTAATTAACTATAATGTGAACAAAATTTGAAGTGCTTGTTGGATTTATACCATTTCCTGTCGTGTCTTAACGTTTGAAACATTTGCAGTGAAAATGTTATATTTTGAGGGGATTTGAAATTGTATTCTCTACAAATTCTGCTCTAATGTACAACATATTTTGTCATTAATTTGTTTATATCAAATAGGATAGAAACAACAACAACAACCCCGATATAGAGATGGAGCAATTCTACAGAATAGCAACGTGCCATTCGAGTGACACGGTAAGCCTCGTTTCCCACTTGTTCTACTTCATGAAAATATAAAGGCAATAATAACTCGAAATCTAAAGCTTTGAAAATCGGAAAATGTCGACCTAAAAACTAGCTATCGACGTGGTGACATCATCCTATGTTGAGTACGCATATTCCTAATGACTTTAAGCTAGGCTCATCGCCTCAGCTATAAAAGGCGAACCGATCGGGTCCGATGTTATGTCGTCACTGAAACTGCTGCAAATTTGACCCCTGCTGACCCATAATTTGGAAGGCTGCCGGAAATGAGTTTTTAATTTGCTTATGTGCAATACTGAAAGGGAAAAAAAATATTTAAAAAAATAATACTTGTATTTACATTCATTAATCTTTCCCTTGATATATATAAAATTGCACTTTCATTGGATAAGGTCTTTAAAGCCTAAATCACACTAGACGATATGACGAGATTATTCAGAATTGCATCTTACAGCCCGGCGACATGTTATTTTATTGTCGTTTTTCCCTTTGCATTTCTTTTCTTTTTAGAATCCCGCCAAAGATGATCGTTGTCTTCAAGGCATAGACGTGAAAGGTATGTCAACCTTTTAAAATTATCTTTAAAACAAACAGAAAAGCATATGAGAATATCCGACCAACGTATCTTGGTGCGAGTTATAAGTGTTAACGAGCAAATGTATTCAGTATATGTAATGTATTATTGGCTTTAGTTTCTATAAAACATAAAAGAAACCAAAATTGAATTGTGCCAGCCACGATTTGAAACGTATGAAATTCCAAGCTAGTAATTAAAGTATAAGTACGGATCAAAGAAGTTGAAAGATGTCACAAAATCTCTTTCTTAGTGCTAGCTCTTCCATTGTTAAAGGTACTATGTCCCTTTTGCAGCCAACATCAAATTCTGTAGAACTTTGCAGGAATTATGAATATGTCATGTATGTCCTATCTGTGAAATTTAAACGTTAGCAGTGTCCTAATATTCAAATTATGCAAGCAAATCCGTTTTCTTGCTAGACTTTACTGTCAGACACTATTGAGTGCACTGACTGGCTTTTCCCCCCTCCTTTGGTAATACATCCATAAAATGAGCTGTAAAGGGTACATGAGCATTTGTCTACATCAATGACCAAATTCTTGTAATGGCCAAAATTAAACTGATTGAATCTTTGCGCAGCAAAAAACGTACGACCATTCGGTACAATGGTCTGAAAATCAGACTATAACTTACTGGCGCTATAGCTCTTAAGTCGATTCGACAACTAATATTCGTTATTTTCCCACTTAAAGACATTTTCAAACCCCCTTATTTTTCGGGAAGTTCTAAATTAGTATTATCTTTCAAATGCCGTTGGAATTTAAATGGGACATAGTACCTTTAAATAGTGAATTAAAAAATTAAAAATACACCGTGCACAATTTCTAGTCTTGATGGAAATACGTGCCTCCATCAATAATTACACGTGACGTTCTTTGTTGACTTTATTCCTAGAAGACTTTGAGTTGTCGACGAAGGCATCGATGAACTGCCTTTGTATCGAAGCAGATAAACGTGAGAAGAAACAATTGGGTGGTCATCATCGAAGCACCAAATCAAAATCAAAATCACGGTATGTTGAATCACACGCTTCTTTCTACCCCCCCCCCTCCACTCCGGGGTCGGAGGGACCGCATGCGTGTTCCCAAAATGTCCGGAAAACCAAAGTCCGTCTCGCAGTACACAAAAAAAAATCAGCCCGTAATGACTTTACACACCGGACTTAGGGGGTGTTTTCAAAAGGAGGGAACATGCATACGCGTACCCTAAATAACACTGAGTGGGTGGGGGGGGGGGGGGGGGGGAGGTGTTCTACTGATAGCGGGTTCTTCTCTAGCGCTCACGTCTGTCAGACTTGACATTCCTGGCGCTCCACAATAGTTACCCCGGCTTTAGCATGGCTGCCATTATGACGCTCAAGCATTACAAGGAATTGATTCCTCCCAGGTACCCATTTACATCACCTGGGTCGAGTGTGGCAAATGTGGATTAATATCTTGGTAATTGACATTAAAGGGATCGTTTATCAATGTTTAATCTGGGATACACGGCCCTACGTGTTTTCAGTGTCTGTGATATGGTGTTATATTGAAGCTCTAACAAAGTTGCGCTTCAAATGATCAAGAAGTGCCTGAAAAAAGTAAAAACCTTTGAGTGACCGGTTTTACCATACTCGTTTTCCCCAATAGACTGTAGTGTTATGAAAACCGTTTGGCAAACGCAAAATTAGATCTCAATTTTCAATAATAAATATCTTGATAATCAGACAGGCGATCAGCTTTTAAAAGTCATGGGGTTCCTGACTGACCTAAAGATTTATAATTATCATTGCAGCATGAACTTAATAGAGGTTTTTTTTTAAAGGATCTAAGACAAAGTTACCGGATCCCTTTAAAGCCTCGGCGGGACTCGATCCACGATCCGCGGAACTCTAGACCACAATATCTCTGCTACATTCTGTTCGCTGTCCCATTGCACTATGCCTCTTAAATGATAGGAAGCAGCGAATAAGGGTTGATGTACAGTTTAATTTTGTGACCGCAACGGAATATACAGAGTGATGGCAGTATCGCATGATTTATTAATGTTTAAACTCCGACCTATATCTAGACAGTTCAGCCAGGTTGGTTAGAAAGGGTATTAACATGTATACTTCTTTTGGGTGCTTGCCCGACAAAGCAACACTCGGCATGTTTCTCCTCACTGTTACAGATTAGCCAGATTGATATGCGAACTTATCTTTCTCTCTAACAATCTGTGGCTTTTACTGGATAAAATCGCTAAAAACAAAACATTGAAATTAAATAGAATAGTTTCTATTTGTGTGAGGGTTATGCTCATGATTGTTTCATAACCACTTTTTAATTAGCTAGTTTTTACGTTGTCTCACTCAAATAACTGTGGTATCCATGTATAACGGACATCTATAATCATACCAAAATTCTGAACATAATTGTATAGCCAAATGAGCTGAACACAGTTCTCAATTCGCTCTAACCACATCGAGTGATGTGTACAGGACTAAAACGAAATCTTATCGATCCAATCAAAACTGTTTTCAAAAGTTCATGATAAAAAAGATGAAAGTATTACCACCTTTAGTTTTGAATCACTTGTTAATCGACGTAATTTCCCTTTTTGTGACCACCAGGGGAGCTAACTGGTTTAGGAACAACGCGGCCAATTGGGAATGGAACCGGCGACTTAACGGAAGAATGGTAAGGTCTAAAGTGAGATTAATATCCGATTTATAATCCTGTCCTGAGGATTCATAACTCATTTGTATATGAAAGCAATTCAGGGTATGCATGGAGATAGAGAGAAATGGGTGGGGGAGGGGCGCGACATCGCCCCCCTCCTCCAAAGCCGCAGATTTAATCAAGCACAGCGAGTAAGTTATGAGAGATTCACATCTGAAAAATACCAGGCATCGTTGTGGTTTAGGCTGGGGAGGGGGGGGGGGGGCAGGATGTTACCCCTCCCATCTTCCTTAACAAAACAAATAAGGTACAATTGGTTACCAGCGCGACCGCAGTCGTCAAGCGAAACAAATAATGTATTTGACTGTTTGCCTAGCAACAACCACAAACTCATCCAGGGGTAGTGAATTGATTTCCTCCTAGGTTAGCACAATTGATGTCCTCGGCCTTGAAAGAAATACAAACTATGTGAACTTTTGTTGTTGTTGTCTGTTTAGGTGTTGTAACAACAAACGTAACTTTGAGATATTTTACGAATTGCTTGCATGTCACACTGTCATCATTGACCATGGTATCTTCGTACTTTGTTTGAATTATATGATTAATATTTTGATTCATTTATTCCGTTATAATAATGATAATTAACAATAATTAACACTTACTTATTATCAGAAGTCTCTAAGCGCTCTACAATAATGCAGCACAATTACCCTGGCTTTAGCAGAGCAGCTGTCACGCAATCTGCGTTTAAAGGAATAAATTCCTACCGGGTTCCCAATTACTTCACCTGGGTGGAGTGTGGCAAATGTAGATCAATGTCTTGCCAAAGGACCTTAGTGCCGAATAATTTATCTATTCAATTATTCATCTGTTTATTTTTCACTTATTTAGTTGTTTAGTTCTTCATTATTCATTCTTATTATTTTATTTTGTTGATCCAATTAGCAAAATAAGATCAAATCATTTGGTCTACTACATGTACTTTAATTATAGAACTAGTTACTAAATCAATAAACAGTACAATTGTGTTAAAGTAATATTTCTTGTCATGATGAAGAAAAAAGTACTTGCGTGCACAAAAATTATTAAATAAACTAGAAAGCCTGAACAAGCAGGATTATCTTTAATATTAAGTGTAATGATACTCCAGAGAATGAAAAGATTTCATCTAATAATTTCCTTTTGGAAATTGGTAATTTATGTTTCACGAGCCGCTTGGGTGGTCTGCTGGCATGCACGCTTACTTACCTTCTTCTTACTTGCACCAGGTACAAGATCACCGCACAAGTTTAAGGATAAATCTGGATTTATATAGCGCTCATTACGATATACCGTCTCTAAGCACTTTACAGATATTATTAATATTTTTAGATTTGTGTAATAATGTTTATGTGAGACTACTCTTGAAAATGTTTCGCGTGTCAATTGTGGCTCTTAATTTCAATTAACATACCTTCTAATTTTGAAAAAAGAAAAAGAATCAAAAAGATATTATTTTCTTCCATATAGAATTGTGTTTTATATGGTAATGTATACCTCTCTTAAAAAAAAGAGAGTGAATTTTCACTCTATTCTCACTTTCTTGGGAGTGACGTCCGTGATTATTTGTTTAGGAGTGAAAATCGATTGATTTTAGAGTGCTCTCTAAGAAGAAAAGAGTGAATGTTCACTCTATTTTCACTACATTTTCACTCTCCAGAGGAGTGACGTCCGTGATCACTCGATTTTTTAGAGAGTACATGGAACTGATATTTACAACCACGAAAATCTTTTCATCACTTGACAAACATACTTTTGGGGATTGTTTTCATTTTTTTTAAATAAATATAATTATGCTTTTTAAAAGTTATTCATCTTTAATACTCTAGTCGTATTCCGAATTACATTAATTTACAGTAACATTATACTGAACAAACTTTATTTTTGCATCTCTCATTTTCTTTTATCAGCTTCTCATCCCCGCCCTCGTCGTGACCTCGGGTCAAGGATCACCAAAGGATGTTCCAGACGTCAGTGAACTTAAAAAATGGGTGAGTTGAAAAAGAAACGTTGCCCTGCTATTTCCCCTAAACGATATGTGCTCCATTAATTTTACAGGAACAATCATCATGTTATTCCTAAAGATTACATATTGGCCAATTAAACAAAACAGGTGAATCTGTGTTCGTTTACTCCCAAACCAGAACCAACTAATATTTCCAATGGGAGGGGAGGCAAAAAACGGATTTAACCACCCCCCTCCCCCCTCACATACAAACCAAGCTCCTAGAATAACCCCCCATTTAGTCTGATGTAGCACAAACAAGAGTATAATCGCTTTTTCATCGAGTATTCTATACAGGGGAAGTTATCCGTGGGGCAGTTTTCATTATCTCATCTGTTGTTCAGGGGAATGTAAAACAAAGATCCTAAGTAGAACTTAATTTTAAGTTGGACCTAAAATTAATGGAGAGCCATTTGTAGCCTTAAAAAGAAATATATTCAACAGCAGAAATTCAAGTATTTTAGACTTTTTATAAGTTCCACATCATGACATCCCCTTGATAATAGAAAGTATGAATGAATTACATCAATATTTCATGCCTTATAAAATAACTTTTACGAAATATTTTCAAAGATGCAAAACGGCTTTCCATAACTGTTAAATCCGACTTAGAGCTAAGTTCAACTTAAGATCTCTGTAAAACACACACCAGGAATAGTAAATTAGGAGGTCGTTATCCCAACAGGAAATTTAGTTTAACAAAAGAAGGTACTTTACCTAAAACTCTAGTTGGGCGTAAGCAAATTATTTAATGATATTTTGAAATCTTTTCTTCACTGCCGCAGATTCCGGACGTAGAACACAGCCATGTTTCGGGTTGTGAGATCAAGACCGACAGAGAAAGGTATGAAGAAATCAAATCATTCTATCAATTCAATTATAAGAGAAAATGGTGGTAATACTAATCTGATTGGTTTTGCGACATTTGTATTGTGGCATCGCAAACAATCTTGTAGAGCAAATATCAAATAGGAATCAGTATAGCTAGAATGAGGATATTTGCGCACTTTTATGACCAAATGTACGATAATAATCTTTAGATTAATGACAACATAATCTGAAAGAAATAATTCTAAATTAGTTTTGAAGATAAAACAAGTAATATGTATTGTGATGTTTTTATGTTATTTTTTTTCTCTATTTTCTACAGATCATCGGAACTTAACCGAATTCTCCGAAAATGGCTGTTTACAATTTACGCAGGCGAGCATACACCTCTTATGCCGTTGTAGACTGACTTACCCGAGAATAGCCACAAGATGGCGCCCTACTCATCGAGGAGAACCTACTGATTTTGGTCAAATATATGATTTACAGTAATCGTAAAAAAGGAAAGTTACAAACTAGTAAAGAAATATGTAAGGCTGTAGAGAACTCAAAAAAAGTTGATCATGAAAAAGCAAAATTAAAGGACTAACTGCCAATACTTTATCAAAAATGGGAAAATTTTACCCCTTAAGGCAGGGGAACTGATTGTATATATATTGTAATTCCTGTTTCCTGTTCACTCCCTCACTTTCTCATAGATCCGGACACTTACCTGCTATCGTGTTTGCTTGTTTTTTATATTTTATATTGATATTTTTTTGAATAACGGTATAGTTAAAGACCTCCACTGATACAAGACCCTTATATAGTTATAATGAAAAATGCACCATATCATTATATGTAAATATAACACATTTTGTTATCATGGATTACGAAGCAGCACCTTCACCTTATACTTTTTGTTTATGTAAGAAAATCTTTGTTCAGATTGCTTATATGTAATATGTAATATGTAATGTTAATTAATTTAATAGGTGTAATTATAGGTGCATTAATTGGTTTATTTTTTCATAAATATTTGTTGTCATTTGCTTATCTATTTTGTTACTTATTGTTGTATTAGTATTGTTTATATATTCAAATGTAAAGCTGCACAAATATAGTCTATTATTATTATTATTAATTTATATTGAACTAATTAATTTGCTTATTATGTTGTAAAAATTGTTCCTTTGTATAATGTTGTATCCAAGTATTACCGTCACCTTTTCCTTTTGAAAGGAATTGGAGCACATTCTGTACACTTGTTTTGAATGTGTACTTTATTAGTTTGGATACAAATGGAAAATATTTTTTAAATATGTCTGTGTTTAAAATGTATGAGACAATGTACTACATGTCTGTTTATACTGTAAGAACAATTGTGTTCCTATTCATCATTTTGTATAATTATGAAGATCTGAATAATGGCAAAAAAGCTTTAAAAAAAAAACTGTTGACCAGTCCTTGTAAAAATTAGACTTTGACGTTACAAGCAATGCCATCCATCAGTAATTCTTATTGAATCGGAGGATTTCGTAATTTTGTCGAAGGAATTACAAAAGGAATGTGTCTCTGTGAGGTATACTTTCTTCTGGGAGAACTATCAATTTGATATCTTTGTCCGGCTCTTTCGCAGCGAAGACAGAATGACGTCGGACAGAGTGAATATGAATGATAACAAATCCTTTGTAAACACGTAAAAGCGAATAATTTGTAAAGTTAAATACATGTCACCTGTAAAATTTTCCGATTTGTATATATTGAAGATGAACATAGTCACTGTAAAACATTCGTAACTTAGAAATTGAGGAGTTTAGCGTTCCCAGGTTTTTTCGAATGTTTTGAGAAGAGTGCAGCCTAAGTTTGCGACAAAGATTTTGGGCCTGAGTAATAAGCTCTCTCATGAGATGCGCAGACAAAACGTCAAAATCTTTCGCTAAAGTCCTATTAAGGGCGCCCTTTTTATAAACACTTTTAGTGTACCCTTTGTGTGTATAAAGATGTAACAATTTGCAAACAAATGAACTAAGTTTTGAGGGAAAAAGAGGAGGTAGGGTTATTGTCAAATGGCAATCAACCACAATTGCGTCCTTTTCTCAGTAAATGTGAAATAGTTTAAGATTGTCATAGAAAATAGAGTTGGCGTGGGATTACTGCCTTTCAAAGTGAATTAGATAGGAGCTTGAGATTAGCAGCTTACCAGTTCGACTAAACTTTTTTTCCCAAAAATAAATGTGACATAAATGAGTTCCACAATCTCAAAACCGATTAATTTTGTGAATCACGATAAGGCTCGTATTTTATACATTCTAGATAATGCAACCAATTATGATTATGATCATATTCATCGATCATAAACGTATGATTAGCAGTACATCGAGACAAATTATAGATTGTTTATATATGTATATATATTCTCAGGAAATGTTTAATAAGTTTGATTATAATTTTTGTGTGGCATTATACCACGGCCAATCCGTCTGTTTGGAGCCATAAGGACCTTCTGGCTTTAAAAAATGAATCATTCTTCCTGTAATAAATATATGTGATGTAGATATCTTAGAATCAATTGTTAATTCCACATTATGTCGATCAAGAGGAGGGGGGGGGGGTGAAGTGGCCGCTGTTCGCGTTTATCAGGTTTATGAAATAATAATTTTGAAAGAAATTTGTTTGTTACCATCCTTCCAATCTGAGCAAGTCTCGGAGCTCTGGTGTAACTTTTTTGAAATTGTAGGTTATATTAGGGTTGTAAAACGATTGCCCTCCCCCCTTCTGATAATCCTGGATATATCTCTGGAAATGTTCATTGTAGCAGTTTAATGTGATAGAACAATTTGTATTAACAATCTGATCATATGAAGAAAAGAAAAAGAATTCTGCTGGACATGTATTCATGAGCTACGTGATCATTACATTCATGTATGCGCCTGTGGTGTATACAACTCTCACGAATGAATGATTGCTAGTTTGTCTCAATTCAGGGGTCATTTGACAGTGTACTGATCTATTACCAATTATAATTTAAGTAAATTGAAGTCTTTTGAAAATGCATAGTTGATATCAATTTTGTCAGTATTGTGTAAATAAACTCATATTTGTTTCATTTTCATTTTGTAAAGTTATGTAGAGATAAGAATACGATATTATGTACAGCTACTTATTGACAGTGATGCGTGATTTGAATAAAAATAAAATATATTGAAAATAAAATTATCATTGTCCCCAGAGCCTTAATTACTGTTATAAATTTCACATTAATTATTATGATTATGTATGAGGAAAAGGACACATGTACGGTCAGTAAAAACAAAGAGTTAGTTGCAAATAATAAAGCGATAGAACACTAAAACATTTGGTAAAAATTGCTCAACATGAGGATGATAAAAATTATGTGTTCTTTCAACCGCAGGTAAATTTAATGTCCGATTTGGATGATGATTTGCTTAATCACAACCCTTTTTTACTCAAATTGGAGGGGGGGGGGGGTGTATATCCGCTCAAGTTGCTCCAAAGCTTGTCGGACCTGCAATTTATAATCCTCATTTGGCGTAATTTTCGCAAAAATTCAAGAATGACGCGTAATTAGGATATTTAAATTTTATTTGTTGATTTCTTGGAGATTTTTTGCGATCGTGTTAAAAAAATAAAAATTAACAAAAAAGACAATGTCATTTTGGGGAAAGTGAAGAAAAAAAAGTCTAATGGGGCGTTGCAAGAAAGTTGTGATTGATTGCAAGTTGCGAAATTTGCATTGTTGCAATCGATTGCTACTCAACTTTTTTGCAACGCCCAGCTAGTTTCCTAAATTTCCTAGGATTTTGTTAGAATTAAAGTTTTAACAATTAAATTAATTTAAATATATCTAGCTGGTATGCTCCCCCTCTTTCTCCCTCTCTGTCTCTCTCTCTCTCTCTTACTAAAGCCTAACTAAAAAAATTGTATTGTCCTTTAGGTGCCAAAACATGGGTCAGTCGGTCGGAAATCTTTTTTTGTTGTTGCTTATGTTTTTCCCTCTTTGGGCTGATATTTCTCAGTTTTGAATGCTTTTCTCTAAAAAAAGGTTAAAAAAGCAGAACTTTTTTAAAAAGCCGACCGTAGATTTCAAGATTTTTGGGTCGGTCGCACAGGGCAATACAACATCTTTTTTTTAAAGGCCTAATGGGGCATTGCAAGAAAATTGAGTTGCGATCAATTGCAAATTTGCAATCAATCGCAAGACTTACGCTTGATTTTGGGGATTGCAATTATTTGCAACTTTCTTGCAACGCCCAATAAGAAGAGAATGAGTACGAAAAACAGATCTCCGTCTCTCCCATCTCTCCCTCTCCCTTTCCCCCTCCCTCTCCTATTTCCCTCTCTTTCTCTCCAACCTCTATCTCTCTCCTTTTGTCTCTTTCTTTCTCTCTCTCTCTCTCTCTCTCTCGCTTTGTTAAGGCTACAACTTTATATGAATCGCACAAGGTATACCGTTAATCATCAATTATTCTAATCGATTGCTCATGTCATGGGATGGCGCTGTTCACTTAAAGGAAACCAAAACCTTCATACTAAGTTAAGAGTGTGTGTGTGTGTGTATTGGGTTTTTTTTTACAGACGTGTATCAATCAGATATGATTATTTACGTCTGGGACCGACCTTTAAACGTCACCATCCGAAAGACGTGACTCAGTTTCGAACCTGCGTCCTCGGCTGAATCAGTTTGTAACTTCCACTTTTTAGCTGGATTACAGGCGCACGCCACAACGCCTTTTGAAACGACTAGTCACTAGAGGGCGGTATTCAATTTGATGACATCATCTGTGAACAACTCTCCATGCCTTTTGTACATAAAATTTTACAATTTTTTTGTTTTCTTCGTATTTATTTGTGTTCTTGATCCAACTTCATAACATGTAAAGTAGAATACCATTTTGCATTCTATATCTTGCTTTCGGGGGAGCACATTATCTCAATCACAAGAAAGAAGGAAAAACATGAAATTTGATGTACAAAAGGCATGGAGAGTTGTCCACAGATGATGTCATCGAATTGAATACCGCCCTCTAGTGTCTAGTCATTTCAAAAAGCTCTTACTTCCTTATTCCTTGCCCGATTTTGTTCAAATTTTCACTGATATTTTTCAAACATCTTAAACTTTACAATAAAAGTAAGTTAGTATGAAGGTTTTGGTTTCCTTTAACTGTTCAACGATGTAAAATTGACGAGGGTGAGGTTGTTGTCATGATATTTGTCTTTTATGTAATACTGAATTAACACAAAGATCTGCATGTGAGAATGTAATGTCTCACATGCGTGAAACCACGATCGGTCGCTGAAGAGGCTAGACTTTATTCAAAAGTGGACTAATCACACACAGGGACACACACACATACACACAGAACAATACAATATCTTTACCGTCAGCCAACATGAGATTAGCCCCAACAAAAACATGAAATATTCCGTATCCGGCACCTTCACCCTGGACATTCACCCCGGATAACTACCCCTAGTCAACTACCCCAAGGACAATTGCCCCCTAGGAGAACTACCCCCTAGGGCAACCAGCCTCTAGGACGACTACCCCTGGGACAATTACTCCCTGGAAAATTACCCCAAGACAACTACCCTAGAGCAACCACCCCTAGGACAACTACCCCTAGGAGAACTAACCCCTAGGATAGTTGTCCGGGGGTAGGTGTCCTAGAGGATGGTTGTCGTAGTTGTCCTAGGGGAAAGTTGTCTGTGGGTATTTGTCCGGGGGATAGTTGTCCCGGAGGCGATTATTTTTTCCGTACCACTAACGCGTCACATCGTCTAATTTTATTCCGCATAGCGACTTGGTCAGAGACCACTCTCGAAACCGTACGCGAACTGTCTTCTGTATTCGATCCCTCTTAATGCTCGGATGCTCTCACTGAACTGTACTACTCTGTCTGTGTGTGTTGTGTGTGTTGTGTGTGTGTGTTGGGGGGGGGGGGGCGTAGGAAAACGCCAGCAACCGCGGACCACTCCGTAGAAAACTACCTCAAACCGCGGTTTGCGATACCGGTTCCGCCGTATCAAATTTACGACGTAGGGGGCGTTTGAATATTAGATGTCACAGCGTGTAGGCAACATCGACTGGATCAGTCCGATGTGTATCGCGAAATGTCACAGCGCCCCCTTTTGACTGCGCGGGAGAGGCGCTCGCTACCTGGATCATCCCATAGGAGGTACGTCCGCGGTTTTAAGTAGTTTTCTATGGAGTGGTCCGCGGTTGCTGGTGATTACCTACGCACACAAACACAAGTACTAAACTTGGTCCACGGTTGACAGCATTTCCCTGTAGTGGTGTGCGTGCGTGTGCGTGTGTGTGTGTGTGTGAGTGAGAGACGGAAACAGAGATGGGGGAGGAAAGGGGGAATGGTTGATCATTTTCAGCCAACATGGCCATGTAATTACACTTAATCACCTAGAGTTTCAATGTTTACAATATTTCAGACGAAAACAAAGGAACATCACACTTATAATTGAAATGAAATAAACAATTTATTAGGTACCAAGAAAACAAAAGAGAAATGAATACAATGTGCAAGACAATATATATATCTTATACTACATTCTCATAAACGCGAAAGTCAAATATCTAAGAGAATTAAATAATTGATGGGCTTTGTATGATCATGCATCCCACAATGGTGCCCAAACGTTTGCTCTCACCATATTGGCGCCTCAGAGTGACTGTATTGAAAAGCATCTGCGCAAAAACGAATGGACGCCATTTTGAATGACACGACGGTCGCATGGTATTGATGCAAACTCCCATTTTAACAAACTAAAACAAACAAATCATAATTTTTCTTGAAAATTGAAAAAAGATCCTTTATATATAATGAGCTCTGTACAAGATTAGAAAGGGTGCATTACAATTATTGTGACAAATAGTATAATACAAATATATGATATACATGTAACGTGTGCATATACTGAACATGCGCACCAAGATGTATATATATGTTACCGCTATTTCTAAACACTAGTTCTATCAAATGAGTGAATACTTGGCATGGTTTAGATGTTTAAGTCCATAATATTGCACTTTGCCCGGCTTTGTAAGCTTTCTACATCGCAATAGAAAAGTTTGATAAAGTGGACCAGATCTCTGAAAATCTCGGAAATCCCGATGGTCCAAACTCTTTATTACATCCTAATCATTTGTTAATAGATTCTTAAAACATAATATTACACCCAAAACAAATGATTTTCTATCATTCTGCAGCTTTGTAATAATTAGACAATTTTCTTCTAAATATACCTCATGCATTCATACATTGACTACGTGGAAATGAAAGAGGGACTAGCTCCCCAAGGAAAGTTATACAAATATCACTATTATACAGAAAAGAGGACGAAAGTTATATGGCAGGTTTACAGCAGCTTTAAGATCCATCATTACCAAATCACGTGGTACAAAGTGTCATTCAAAACAAGAAACATTCAACAATAAAATTAATAGTATGATAACCCGAAATTAGTATTTGAATTTTCCCCGATTTAATTTCAAACGCTTGTGGTAAACGAAACAGTTGACATGACAGAAAAGTAATTTTTTCGGCATTAGCGGCAACACCAGGCGATTTTTCAGAAAAAAGACCACTGTTTTTAGGACATTTGTTGGTCGATACGAGAACTAAACTACTCATCAAAACTATCATTAAATCTACAGCTAATCAGGCAGCGATAGAAAGAAAATGGTTATAACATCATTTAGAAAAAAATAGCTCGATAATATATGGGCGCTCTCGTTCGGTGCGATTCAGGCATCCGGAAAGTTCTTGAAACCATGTCCACTTGCCACAGTCATGCACATCGTCAATCTATGCTCTGGATACGTGGGGATTAGTTCTGAAGGATTCTTGCGATCCACATGAAATGTTGTATTTTTATGTTTATTCGGTCGAAACTGACATCCATGGCTACAGCCAGGACAAGTGGAGATTACGAGGAATACGGGACGGCCGAGGGAAAAGGGATCTGAGCAACGATTTCGGGGATCTGAGCAACGATTTCAGGTTAGAATGTTGTTGGGTGTTGTTGATGTAGTATGTATTTCAGTAATGAGGACTGTTTGGTTGATTTTCCGTTATCTCTGCAACGTACACAGGACGGAGATTAAACCGTTTAGGATCTGTCGATGGATGGATGATGACGCTATCTACACGTGGTAGCGGCCCCCTGGTGAACATTAATCCTTCGAAGCAACATGGAAACCTTTTCATTTACACGTTGCCCAACATACTGCAGAAATGCCGAATGAGTCCGTATTTCTTGTGTGAGTTTACTTTTAGTATAATTCTCTTTGCTGAGTTGTTTGTTTCATCAGTTACTGTTGAAACGCAAACGGCTTGGTGGTCCCATTACCTAAAGAACAGAAAAGTCACACATAGTTGAACGATCACTTCAAATTTCCCGTCCCAAAGTCAATTTTATTTTCTAGATCTTAAGTAATCATCGATTTTAAGAACGTACAGTTGTAATACTGCTTTCCTGTTTCTATTAATCAAATCATTCGTTGGGTCGGTGATTCGATTCTTAAATTTACATATTGCATTTGAACTTGATTCTACTCTTAATTCAATTCATTTGATTTTCATTGAATTCATTTTATTCGTCTAAATTAAATAAATGAAGATTTTACATGTGATTTTATTTACAAGCAATAATAATAAATATAAAAACAACAAAAACAGGAATAATTTAAATACATGAGTGATAAATACATGCAAGCATAGACGTTGACATCGCATGAACATCAAAGTAAATTTACACATAGCATGAGCACTAAGAATGAGTAAAAGGACACAGAGATTGATGGGGGTAGAAGGAGAGTAGATCGAAGTGGGGAGAGAAGAGAATGAGTCAGAAGAAAGGGAATGATACATAGAGAGAAAGGGAAAGTGGGCTGGTGAGAAGTAACAACAGAGAAGTAGTGACGGTTTTAGGAAGAAAAAGTGAATATCATCAAATTATAAAGGTATTGAACAAAAAAATTATGAAATCCAACAACCAAATTAGTTACAACCTTCGTGTATTGACATAAAGGTGCAACAAAAAACAATGAAGCAAAAGATAATATTATAGATGTTGTCATGTAACAGTCGAACGATTCTATGGTACTCACTATGTAACCCGCAAAAAGGAACTGCTGATTCCAACGATCTTAAACAGTCATGTTAACTAAAAGCTAAACACCGTAAATATCGGACTGTCGGAGTAACTGCGATTTTGTCATTAAAATATTGGAACCCCTTTTGGGGATAAAAGTAAAACTTGTTGATGGTGTATAAAAAAGGGGTTTTGTTTTGAGTGGTTGCGTGCAGAGATTCTTTCCCCCAGGTCACCGGGTGTGTTGGGGCGGACATGAGTCAGACACTTATTAAGGGGTGTCGAGAAGCAGACGTTTTCCTATCTCCCCTCGGGGCAAAAAAGAACGTAAAACGCCCTCCATACAAGTGTTAACCCTTTGGTTATCATATGTAGATATAACATGTAGAAAGTCAACTAAATTTGAGATCTTCTGGTATAAAAATGTTAAGTACTTCCGTGCAATTGGAATCCTAAAATTTGGCTCGAATTTGAATCTCTCTTAATAAAAAACCCATCATATTTCAAAGATTTTCATTTATTCTCATTAACATTACAAAGAGTTTTGAATAGCTACATAAACAAGGGATGCTGTTTTAGTACCAATTTTGGTAATGTGTAAAATACCTTAAAATGATATGGCGTGCAAAGGCGTGCGGCATGAACTAAAAATTGCTAAAATGGTTGCTATAGGAGAATGGTGATGTAATGAAGACACTAATCAAATGATTATCAATCTAAGGCTAACAATATGCATAATGAAGACTCAAACAACAATTTGACTATAAATGTGCAATTGTTTCTCAAACGTAGAGAAAAGTGTTCCCCTTTTTCTCGCTTTGGTCTCCACGACACGCACAAGGTCAAGACGAGTGTTAAGGATCAACATATAATCTCTTCTTCCTGTTCACTAACGATTGCAATCATAACATTTTTTGTCAAATGTAAAAAAAAAAAAATCATGTTTCATTATCTGTCAAATCTAACAGACAGGAAAAATAATTTCACTCCTTACCAAGTTGGCCGTTTTAAAAATAGAAGATAACAGGGGTCAGGCCGAAGACGGTTTAAAAATGATAACAAATTAAACTTTAGAGCATTATTGGTAAAACTGAGTTTTTACGAAATTTTGTATGTGTACACAAGAGATTGGATTCATTACCTCATTAGAATGCCTTTAAAAAAAATAATGTTATACAAAATGAAACGAAGGTGACATAATGGCAGATATTCACGATAAAACATTTTTTGTTGGTGAACGGATTTCCGGGGATGCATTAAAAATCATGAATACGGTACTACAAGGTAAAGGGAGTTTAAACCATGCTTCTAAAATAAGGGTTGTGTTGGTTTGGATGATAGCATTTATTATCCTTTTCCCACGGATAGTAAGCAAATAACTACCGTTGGTGAAGGTGATGGGACAAACTATCACTTCCGAGGCGATCTAGATGTAGCTATCTTCCCGAAGCGAAGCTGAGGAAAGATAGCGTATACATTCAGATCGCCGAGGAAGTAATAGTTTGCCATCGCCTGAAACCAAAGGGTGATTATTTGCTTTATATCCCGCATCATAAACATTTCGCTTATTCCGTCATTTTAGAGCAACAAGTCATCAATTAACAGCTAGCAAACGGTGTACGATACGTGCAGTTCCTGCATTATGGTGGTGTGACCATATAGTTCGCGCGTGACCAACGTTCGCGTACTAAACACTAAAAGCGCTTAAAGAGGAGAGCGTATACAATGAAAGTGCGTTGCACTGTGTAGATAGTTATACTATCTATACAGTGCAACGAACTTTTCTTATCCCATCAATGATGGGCGAACTATCTTTCGTCATGTGATTTACTTTTGACCAATCGTAGAGCAAGATTCTTAGTATGTGGAATATAAACACTAATATTTGACATAATGTGAATGTAGGCCTCAAGCGATAAATAAAAGTAGTGTCATCTCTGACTTATTTTTATGTAGTTTTTCGTTGATTCTAGTAAGCGCGTTCGGAATCACTTTCGTTGCCCGTACGTTGAAAGATAATCCGGTAAATGTGGCGTCTAATAACACTGTATGGAAAGCAACATGAGACTATAGTTGGCGATCAAAATGGATGAAACGCCTCCTTGTGTAGCTATCGAGCTATCTAACAACGCATGGGCAGCAACAAAAAATCCAAATGAGGCTAAATCAGAACCATGGTGGAATCTGCATTTATAAAACACGTAGTAGGACAAACTGATGGTGACAAAATGAAGTGGTGGAACGAAAGGATTACAACGGTGAACTAATAAGTAACTTAATAAGGAATCTAAAAAGCAGAGCAAATGGGTATTTACCATCTCACTGACCTTCATCCGGGACCTTAGTGTCGATCTCCTCCGGTCTCGCAACACAGACCTTGAGTGTGTCAAGCTCACCCTTCATATCACCAACTTCCTTCTCCAAGTCATTGATCTTCCTGTAGAGCTGGAGCCGGTCCTGGATTTTGCTCTTCTCTTGTTGCAGGTCTTGGATTCGCTTCTGGAGCTCAGCGTCCATCTCAGCTTCGGTGGGTTGTCTCTCCTCTGCCAAAGCACAATGAAAGAAGAGGGAGTTAATTATTGGTTATGGAGTTATCGTAATTATCATCACTAACAAAGCTACACTTTGATTCCAACTTGGCTTAGTATATTGCCTTGCCCAATATCTTCACAAGAAGTTCAGGTGACCTTGAAGCTCCCCCAATCCCAACTCAGACATCGAAATCGGCCGAAGTCGACTGTCTTTGTTTTCGAGACGCAGGTGCTTAGGAATTCTGCCTAAAGTAAGTGACAGATACCTGAACATTTTTTAAATGGCTTACTTCGTCATGTTGATACTTGATTTATAAGATAAATATGCATCGTAATAATATAGCCTTGAACCAACATGCATATTCCAATATCATATTTTTAGTCACTCCACAAACTTAGTTTTACTTAATTTTCATGATCATGGAGAGGGGAAAATCTGAAGGAAAATACAAAGTGAGACGGACCAGTGAGAAATTCATGAGAAGGGTTTTGCGCTTGTAGTTATCATAAAAATGATTTCCCACGAATTAAAATGCATTTATAATAATGTTGCTCTTGACTCATTCCATTCCAGCTTATGCCATAACCTTGGGTTAAGGCTCTGTGTAAGTATGGGCATGGGGGACAGGTGGCTTAGAACGAAACGTACAAGGGGTTGGTCCTCAGACCTAGTCCCAATCCTAAGATTAAACTTGAATCGTGAAAGGGGACACAAGAGAGGATTGGGGAAGATCAAGGTGTCGGATATGAAACCAAGGACTGATGTAGCCAACTTTGACAGCTGTGCGCACAGGATAGTGGGTGTCTCTAATTAGTGGGGCCTTGCCGGAGCTGACAGTGTCGCCAGGGGGATTGTAAGACGGGAAGCACCTGTCATAGAGATGGGAGTAAAGTCAAACCAGCTAGGTATAGTGCTGCGCATGTCCTTCAAGGTTACCAGCACACCTTGTCCTGTAATTTTCTGTCTTTTCGTCTTCTCCTTCTCCTTTTTTTTTTTTTTTTTACTTCCGTTCATTCAGTTCATTCTACTTGTTTGGGTTAGTAATAATTTTTATTCTGCACGAAATAGTATATATGTATTCCTTTTTATCAACTCCCAAAGGGTAATCTAACTACATTGCCATTTGAAAGAACACAACAGGACAGTGACTGACAATACAAATGTTTCTGAGTTTGGTGTATATTGCAAAGCCAGCTTGTTACAAATTGATATTCTATTTTTGATATTTAACTGAGGTCGAAGCATTGCAAATGGACACTAAATATAAAACACATATTGTTAGATAAAAAGACAGTACGACGCTTCAAACCAAAGATAAATATAATAAAGTAAATAGAGAATAAAGTAGGATAGTGGGAATATGATTACCTGAACTGTTTGCAGGTTCAGCCCCTATGCTTGCCCCCTTGACGCTGTTTCCTTCTCTCCTCTGCCATGGCAGCCACTTCTTCTTCCTTGTTGACGTCGAGCTCGTCTTTCCCTCTGGTTTTGATTCACCATCCTTTCCTTCTTCACCAGCGCCCTCTCCGCTTGCCTGTCCCTCCTCGATCTTGCTCTCAGGTTCGGTCTTGGGCCTGTGGCAGGGAAGACAAACAACCATGATGACACTACTCAACTGTTCAAAGCCAGTGCATAAACCAAATGAAACGGAATCTTTCCCCACACTCTTCTTCCGGAGAACAAGCGAGCAATAGGGTCTTCGACAAATTATGTCGAAGATCTCATGACGCAAAAGCTGCATGTGTCTCAGGATGTTAAACAGAGTAGGCGTGGAGATTGATTACGCTTGGGCGTGGCCCTTGAAATCTACGTGTTTCCGTTTCAGTTCTAATTTAGGTCGTGCTGTAAATACCCCTTCCTCACGAATTTTAACTGTTTTTACGTCTGAGTCGTTCAATTGAGGAGAATAACTTTGAATGTGTTTAGAAATGTCAAAAACGTTCCTTTCCGCAAGATTTAGACGAGAAAGTATCGTATAATTTGACCATAATTACCAAAATTACATTTTTTTGTCGCTTTCAGTTGTTTGTAGCCGGTAGGATTAATCATAGATTGCTAACGAAAAGGAAAATTCCATAATAAATTATTAGCGTTTATTTCACTGTCTAAAGCTCAGGACTTGTGACATCCATAGTATTAATTTAACCGCAAACAAAATTTTATTACATAACTATATAAAAATATATAAAACGCCATTTCCCTTCTTACTTTCTGGCCGAATTCCAAACTTTCATCACAAAATTTTGATAGAAAATTGTGTGCAGTCTGTATTTAGTAAACTAACAGTAATTCCATGGATTTTAAAGTTAATGTACTGAGCTTTGGTTAGAAAACGACGAAGGGATTATTCCTATATATACTATACTGATAATTAGACTTACAAAAATGCAGATATAGCCAAGATACTTCAAAGGTAGAAGAACAAAAACGTCAAATGTAGGCATTTTTTGTGTTCTTTAAATGGATGCAATTGAAGCTATCATCAGGTGACATTTTCATTAAATTTTTCTCCTTTTGAAGAGGACTAGGAAATGGGGGAACGACTCATGGTCGTTGCCTTCGTCATTGACGTGACATAAACCCTTACCGGAAGAGACAGAGAGTCGAGACTTTAACAAGATTTGACTGGCTATCAGTCGACTCGACTCAATAGGAAGGAAACGTGCATTATCGCATCAGAGTCTACGCCAACATACGGGGGATATGCCTAATCATTGATTCTAGAGAAGGAACGTTGAGAGAATTTATCGAGTCACTTACACATGTAAAATATGTGATGATATCCTAAATAACAGACAAATGCCAAGCTGAAATTTACTAGTGGCATTTCTATATGTGGGCAGTCATTACGGTTAAGAATAATTTGGTCGAACAAAGGGGAAGTACTGGACAAATATAATTTCTTCCACATTTTAAACTACGTCAAATTTGCATAGATAACTGTCAAGATACATTTGCATAGCAACAACAAATACTTCATTTTTCTCTCATTTATGTAAAAGGGTTTTAGTAAAAGAACAATCTCTAGCTCATATCTGATCAGATCTGGTGGATGATAACATTTGAATAAAATGTAGCCATCCACTTCACCATGTCAGCTAAACCAAGTTACAATGAAAAAAAGTTAGTGTTACACGCATCTGAAATATAAAAAATGTAATAATGATAAATGATGGGGGTATTAAAGATAAGCTTTTCTTGTTAACTTACGGGGCTTCTGGGGCGGCCTCTAATTTAGTCTCTGTCTTAGTCTCCTCGGTTGCAGCTTCTTCCTTAGTCATCTTGAAATCGGGTGTGGGGTGGACTTCACAAGTTCTAAGAAAAGAAAACAATATATATATTATGCAAGTAAAGTAAGGAAGCAGAATAAAGAACAAGCGTCCTCAAGTGCAAGAAATCCGAGATAAATACGACATTATACATTTGGATATTGTATTTAATGTGAACGAAACATGATTCGACAAAACAGGTTGTGATCACTAATGCATTGTTAACTATAATAACTTGAGATTCTGAAACCACACCTTAATTCTCAATCTATAAAGCCGACAAAGAAAAGAGTGTTGAAATATTCGAGAACAAATTCATAGATCAAAGTATCAATTTTTGGGGGAAATACCAAGACAACATTTTCAAATCATTAAAGAGATAGAAATCGCTTAGCGCAGTATCGAAAGACAACAACCTTCGGGTGTCTTATCTATGATAAAGATCGACGATAGCCGGTCTGTATGTTTGTCCAATAATGTCCACGAAGTCATCATACAATTTAGAATACAAAAGCAACCCTCAAAAATTCAAATGAAAGAGTTTCCTCGATTAAATAAGAGTCGATCAAAATGAAAACAAAGCAAAGCATGAGAGCGAACGTGTTCAAGAAATCCTGAAAGTAAAAACTTGAAAACCAGTGCGTCACCTAGAGTAAGAACAACCAAACCAGATTGAAGATATACCTAACAAGGAGAGATCGTATAGCCGTACTATTCCTTTTGATGGACGCGCCTATGAATGATCTAGGAGTGGAAAAGATTTAGATCTAATGCAACCTGTGCGCGGTCCTGACTTGACGGTACCTCCTACCCAGCTCCTGCGATCTAGAAGAACAGGAAGTATGCACCCGATGACTAAGCGGATGAAAACTGATGGTTCCCCTATAGGTGACACCCTTCCCTTCAGTCCTAAATGCCTGGGGATCCAGGAGTAGCAACCCCTTTGTCTTCCCTCATCTTCAAAGGAAGGGGCAAACAACACACTTCCGGTGGTTGGTTCCTTTGAGGGTCATGAATACCGATGAGATGTATAATACCATGGGTTGGTTAAGGGGTAAGGAGAGCGTGTAAGATATGTTTCAGGTTTCATGAAATTCGCCTTGGCTTGCAAAATCCATTAAAGGTCACATATATGCTTCAAAGATATATCTTCGTTTTTTCCTACTTTAAGGGAAATATGAGAGCAAATTCATAAAAATTGAGAACAATATCTTATACATTAGGAACGTTTAATCACGTTATTCTCGTAAACAATGTACATGTAGCAGAAAACACCATAAATTGAACTCGAAACATTTCTTTCAAGGCGCCGTTTAGGTAATGCGTTACTGAACTGTTTTTTAAAATCATTTCGGATAGGTGTATCGCAAATTAATGATTGCAATTATTCTACCATGAGACCATATACATATATCATTATATCAAAAACACAATTAGCATAAAACCCTTGTCCTGCACTTACGTGACCAAAAAATGCTTTTATAAGCGTGTCTTCAAGGGTGTAACGGCTATATACACGGACATTCAAAAATTGTAAATAAACTGAAAAATGTGATATTTGAATTTATGGAGAGAAACTACTTTGTAAAAAATTTACATTCGTACAATTAGTAGACATTTTTATAATAAGATTTTTTTTTCTTCTAAAGCTTCTAGTAAGGCCTTGTTTTGATTTTTGTTTGTTAATGTTTAGTTCTACAATTTACTCCTTTTATCCTGTATTAAATAACATCATGGATCGCAAGATAATTAACTCTGACTCATAATCATGGGAACTGGGGACTGATTATTATTTTTAAAGAAATTGTCTGCTTTAAAAACGTCCATTGTCTGCGTATCCAGAAATAGAAATTACTTAAGAAATATATCTTTACCATTAGACACATATTGAGTGTATTTCTACGCTAAGCGGCACCTCTAATTTGTGCATTCATAATTGACAATGATACACCGGATGTCGAAGGCTGCTTGAGCGGAAATGCGAATGATACTCTATAATCGTTTGGATTTTAAAGCCTTGCTCTATTGGTGGACGGTCTGCCTTTCTGCTCATTCGCCGTCCCCATCAGAACTTAGCCCTTGCCATTTACCCCTCACCGGCAACAAACCTTGACATCCAAACGGAGTAAATCAACGTTTCCGTAATTGAAATCAAGGAACTTTGATATTAGCGTTCGACATTCATGAAGTCCATTCTTGGCACAGGTTCTGTCGCAAATCAAAAACAAGTGACCCGACTGAATTGTGTCTTCAGATGCGTCATGGAAGGTGCAATGTTGCGTCCTTATTTCAGTCTTCCGCCTTCCCTATATGTGCGAATTAATACAATAGCTTTCTTTCCCCTTGAAGTGGACCTGTGTATTGTTTTGTTAAAAAATATGACACTACTTCGAGAGCTCACGAAAAAAAGTTTCGTTTGACTGGCGCAATATAAACATGGAAATTAATTAGTTGAGGCAAAGTTCATTCCATACGGAATTTCAAAGAATCAATTTAACATTTGCTGGCTTTTGCATTCTAACCCCTTTTTTACACATCAAATTGAAATAAATTTGTCTGGTAAAATATTTTATTTCTTTCTTTTAAATTTAGACATTATAACACACGCAGATGGACATATAAAAAAAAAAAGGTTCTTTAGAAAGCAGTTGCGTGCTTACTTTGTATTATAATTATTGAGTGCTTTGACATTATTTCTTGGGATCTGTTTAAAAGATGGTCGTACAAAAACATGTAAATTTAAAGGAGACATGTTACAAAACAATGTATTCTTTCATTTATACGGGAACAAAAAAAGTTAAATTATACAAATGATCGGCTTCTGTTTGTTGACATGAGTGCGTACATGTATAGAAGGAAGACATGACTACGTGGCTACGTGCAGAACCTGCATTGTTGTTGGCAGGGCGTCCCTAACAGTGCAGAAGACAGGAAGAAATGTAGGAAGAAACTGTGATTGTTCCTGAAAAGGAAGGGGTCTCTGAAAGGGTAGGGGGCCTAGACCAGGAGGTGAGTCTAGCTGTCGGCTGCAATCCAGCACACAGTATAAACTTGATTTACAGGGTTCCTTTAGTAATGCTGAGAGTCACGGATGTCAAGAGCTTCCGACTCGAAGGTCAAGATAGTTATTTAATTTGCATCAAGGTTATTTTGTTGGCATGCCGATTTTTAATATACGAGAAGTAAATAATGGCCTCTCACTTGTTTACTTTAAGATCAGTTACTAAACTTCGTTTGTTTGTAAACAGATAGTTCGATTGGGATTAGTTTTGACAACACAATGAAATGTCACCAATATCTTGAAGGAGTTGTCCTGGTAACAAGTTTGCATTGGGAATAAATATAAGTTTTATGATCCCACTCGCTTACGTCCTTAAGTAACACACTTGCTTGAAAAGGTCAAGAGCATGGAAATCATTATCAATACTTTTTTTTTGATGGGACATTTACTACAGGATATATTTCGATTGTGTCCATGGTAACAGGTTTATTAGGTTATGTTGGCCACTCCGCGATGTTTTTATTCAATTATAATATTTTATACAAATATCATATTTTATACAACTATCTATCATTAAATGTGGTGTTGTTTTCTCAAAGAAAAACGAGTAAATATATTCCATGATATCCTATATGTACCATTAATTCTTTATTTTACTGATTAAAAAAGAACTTGCCATAATCCTGTATTGGTATTTTATAATTAGGATGACCTAAATATAAAATAGTCTTTTAACTAAATAATCTCGAATCGTCTTCATCGTAATATCAAACTGGAGATGGCAATTAAAATCCTATGGCTTCTGATGGCTGTGTCAGAGTTAGAAGGGCGTTCACACAAACATTTTAGGTGAACTATTAAAGTATGTCACAAGTTCCTGTACCAACTCACTTCTGGCGGGCCTTACAGTTTTATATTACGCAATCAATCCACTCGTTCTGTTTTCAAAGAATACAACAACAACAATCTTTTGCACCCCACTCCCTCCCAATTCCACTCGCCATTAATCGGCTACTCGAACGAGAAACGAGTAATAACGTGGCTTTATGCCAAGAGGAACTCAGGACCATATTTGGAAATCGGAGAGATATAAACTCGAGCCTCTCATTGACACGTCACAGCCATGCTTCAAGTTTGTCTTTTTTTCATGCATGCATATTTAATCTCATATTAGTCACTTAACGCACAAGCTTAGTGTAGACTGATGAATATACATGACGTGTCAACATAAAGCAAATATTCGTCTCATCACACTGTAATCAACCGGTCTCGAAACGTTTTAACTTTGGGGTGGTATAGAGTTTATAAATTTAAAGAATATGCTTGAGAAACACGTCCAATATGAAATATCACTTTACATATATCTACAAGGAGTGAAAACGACCTGCCATTATATCCCAAAAATAAAACAATCAACTTGTGAGGTTTTTGTTTTGATTGTTTCCAGCGCATATACGAAAAGTGAAATTTTCTATCACACTAATTCGCCAAAGGATTAAGTTTCTCGGCAAAAAATATAAATTAGGAAATAACCATCTACAAAACATTTGAATGCCTAACTAGTAGGCAACATTACATTCTTAAAATAGATTTTGTCGATCCATTAAAACCATTACAAAATAATCTTCAAATTACTTAAAGCTTATCTGCCATAGTTTAAAGGAGGGATTAGAGCGCCCTACAAGGTCACTGGACAGGTGGTTATCTCATCAACTCAGCTCTCAGTTAACATAAGAAAAAGAGGATCATGGGGGACCAATGGTCACCGATTAGGCATTGTTTGTTGTAAGAGGGCGCAAGTAGCTACAAGTAGTGCAGTGGGCCTTTAAAGGTCACCTTTTTTAAAATTTCCTTAACCCCCCCCCCTTTGGAATTCTATCTCTGATTCTTCGCTATTGAAACAAAAATGTTCCAAGCCTGAGTTTCAAATCCAAGGCATTTTTATTTGTTTACCCCAAGATGTATAACACCAGGAAATGCTCCAACCCCCATCTCTCTCTCTCTCTCTCTCTCTCTCTCTCTCTCTTTCGCTCTTTTCTCGCGTTCTGGTTCTCTCTGAGAAGGTTTTAGATGTGTCCGACCTTAGGCGCCACGGTATTTTTCTTAACAAAATTCTACAAAAGTATTTTCTAATCTAGGATTAACTTATTAAAATTATTGATCGGAATGACAAGTCTTTTCACTGTTTTTATAATGATGAACGGAAACGACGGCCTAACGTACACATATTAATACTGCCTAAGCATACTCCATCAAGGTCAACAAAAAGTTGTGTATGGCGTAAGTGCCCCCTCCGCCTCGTCCTCTCTTTCTCTGTCGGTCTCTCTCCCCTCTCTCTCTCTCCCCTTCCTCTCTCTCTCTCTCTCTCTCTTTCTCTTTCTCTCTATCTCTCTCCCTCTCTCTCATTCTTGATCTGCATTGTCACTTCTATTCACCTCCACCTAGGTTATCAGACCAAATACGATGCAATTTGTTTAACAATAATATGACGATAACATCCTTGAGGAATATCTGAAATAAAGGACCATTTTTTTAATTTTTTTTTTTTATTTATTTTTTTTGTGGGTAAAGTGTAGAGTCTACAAAAAACCAAACATATACAATTTTGATCTGATATTAATAATCAATTTTCCAAACTGTCGAACTAAATAACAGAAGTACTTACATGATAAATCGAGGTATGGTTGGTACGTTGTGCGGTCCCAATGGGCAGGTTCGCAGATAAATGATTTTAAATTCAAGGTAGATCCTCTTCACAACATGGAGGTTCAGAAAGACTAGAACGCAAGCACCTCAATTCTCTAAATGGAGAACCTGAGAGCGTGAGACAGCAATTTATAGAGAGCATCGGTTAGGAAGTATTCATTAGAAGCAGTTTGGCACCTCTTCCTCTAGCCTGCAAGTAATACAATGTATCCCATAGGTCTAACACGTTAACATAGCTTTGCTGTTCAGCCGAGTGAGAAAAAGGTGAAGCGCAACATTTCATGGTCAAGGGCGTCACTTATTTATTTCCGTCGATAGATTTATGAATGATTCTGTTTTTTTCAAGTTGATGAGATGTGAGCTCTTCAATTTTGTTCTCCATTTAAATCAATTTCAAAGGTTGACATCCTTTTTTCAAAGGAGATTTGGGCACATATGTCGACAAATTTGGTCCAACAAAACCCCCGCCCTTGGAAAATTCCTAGTGATGCCCCTGTTTATAGTCCTTTTTTTCTTCAAATTACACGTACCTTCTATCAGTCTATATTGCACTTAGTCTATATCAGATGCTTTTAATGATAACATACTCATTTCAATTGGGAATTTTATCTTTTCAAGCCATAATGCCACTCTCTGTAACTTTATGAACTCTCATAACATAACGAATTGTATCATTCAATACATGTAATATGTTTGATCAAACATGATAGGCTTTAGAGGTCTGTGGTCCAAAGACTAAACAAATCATGTTTACAATAACGAATTGACAGGTTGAAACAAATGTTACCCATATGTTCACTCACAGGTGGAGGGGTAGCATATGGTAAACATATTGATAGGAGGACATCTAACACACTCCAAAAGAGAGGTATAATCTGTTGTTTAACATGCCAGCAACGAAATTTCTGATATTGGATCACTTAGTTTGGCATTACATTATATAACGTTGTTTTAATGCTTGACAGTAATTATAATATACCTGACGAGGCTGAAGCGAAAAGAACATTTGCAGTTCCACCCATTAGGCATGTTATAACTTATTCATCATGTATTATCATCATCTATATTAGTGTCTAGATGTACGTGTTTAAAGATAAAGTTGAGTTCGATTGCATTGTGAAAGAAACGGTGTGGAAACGATCAGGAAAAATTGATCATGTAGCATATAAGTATATGTATGTACTGCAGGGTTCTGGAAACATCAAAATGATAAGACATTAGTCCCAGTTTTGTTAAAAGTAACAAGCACTATATACAGAAAGATGTATATGGGACCACACAAACATGTGGCATAAAAATGTGGTCCTCATTTATAAGCTGTTACATGTCATATTTAGAATATGATGGCATTTGAAGACCTATGCTTTTCAGGGAACATTTTGTTCTCCAAGGACATTCTTCCAATTTCGCATAATACCAATTAGAAACGCTCGCAAATTATTTTTCACCTCTCCCCAGAACTCAACCTTATTTTTAAGCCATCCATATTTGCAAAGGCATTGTATATATCTTCTACTGATGTTGTTGCTGTGGGGCTGCATTCTCTGTTATATACTATAACATCTAAAAGTGAGGTATTTAGAAAAAATGAAATAATCGAAAACGTGAGGAGACATGGTAGACCCAAACTTAATATTAAACCTTTGTGTGCTTCTATCAACAAATACTAACATGATTAATGACAACATCCCTGATAAACACAAGTCTCAATGTTATTCACTGACATCTGCTGCTGCTGCGCGATCTGCATATGCATGAAAAGCATATCTTTCTAGGTATCATCGTAAAACAAAGGCTACATTTCTCCAAGAATATTCTTTCTTACATTTTTTTCTCAACCTACTATATTGTCTGACTCGTTGGCCTTGCTGTATTACTGGTGTTGTTGTCTTTACGTATTGCCTAAATTCACATTAAACATATTTGTCGACTTTAAAGAGGGACATCTCTTCCTTCATATAATTTGTTTACGTTTGTGTTACAAATTATACAGTAAATATAACAAAATTATCCAGATGTTTTACTCTTCAAATATTTGAGTACTACTACTACTGCTATTGATGCTGCTGCTACTACAAATAACATATACTGTTTCTATAACTATTAATACTACTATAAGGGCTAGTACCTCTATCGATTTAGATTTTTTTTGTTGTTCATCAGGCTTTTAGAAACAAATATTTTATCAGTTGTGCAATTTTTTAAATTGTTATACCATGACCATTTTGCTATGAACGATTATATTTCTCTTCTTTTATAAGCCAAACGTCATCGTTATATCGTTTTTTTTATGTTAATAGTTTTGAATGATACACAAATAATCCTCATAAAATGTTCATAACGTTTATGTATCAAGGCCACGTCCTTTGAGAACAGCTTCCATAAGAACGCCGTAATGTTTACAGTATAGTGGACACTGCGTTGACGACTAGTGTGGGCGGATAATGTGCGTGTATATAAGAGTGCGTGGGTAGGTGTTCAAGACGTCTGTAGAGGAAGCTTCGTGCCGACTCACCTTCCTGCGTTGCGCTGGGAGGAAGTCGCAACTTCTTGCTCTCCCTTGCTTCAAGTTGTTTTCAAAGGACTCACTTGGGAGAACACTTTGTTTTCGAAAGTAAACTTCACATGAAATACAGATTCGACCCCCTTTCATCAGAACATAGTAGTCATCCGACTCTCTCTTATCGACACATAAAATCAACTTTGCGCGATGCATGATGTGCCTTATAAAATCATCTTGAATATGATCTGTAAAATGAGACATTTTGTTCACATCATTGCTTGTTTCGCCAGCATTTAAACAAAACTGAATCATAAAATAGATGAAAGTCGTTTTTCATTTTATAAGCAGGCTTTTCACGTTAACAGATTGATTCATTGGATTTTCATTAAATATGATTATTCACAAGTAAATGCCAAATGAAAAAGAAATACTATTTTAGAAGGGGCTAGTAAACTGTCACATTTGAATGTTTTTTATCACAATATCATGTCAAACTTGTCAAATGAAAGAGTGTGCCATCGAAGAGTTATGAACAGCGAACAATGTTTAGAAAGACAATTTAGGTACATTCTTGTTAATATGAAGAATGATACCATATTATAAAAGAAACAATATGCAGAGAGGATTAAGTGGATAACTGTTGAAAACAAATGAATGTGTTGACTTGGTAAACTATGCATGTATATCTACTTGAAGTGAACAAGTCATTTAATATGTTTAATAAGTTTAAACTAGCAGTTCAGAAAGAGGAAATAGCTAGCTAGAGATCTTCTCCATCTTAACTAGAATATTTGTCGGTTAGGTTAGGAAATGTTATGGATTTTCCTTTTTTTTTCTGCCCCGAATCATATTTTGATGTTTCTGCTTGGACTCGATCCAGACCTGTCATTCAACGTTCATCTTCGTTTGTTTTGGGACATGTGCTTTGCGGTATAGTGACATTTTCAGGGTTAGAAGCATAAACTCAAATGGGTGTCAAAAATGAGGGAAGAGAAGGAGGATGTCGAGAGGGACATAGTCGAGAGGGAAAATAGTATATAATCAAGAAGAGAGAGAGAGAGAGAGAGAGAGAGAGAAAGTGAGAGGGGGGTTGCTAATCGTTTCTCCTCCGATAGGCCTGCCTCTGTAACGTCTGTTTTGCTTGCTCCTAACTAGGAACATAGTGTTGTATAATACTTTTTATTTTGTTGACAAAAAAAATGCAAATTTGAGTATACACAGATTAATTTGTGAATTACATTTCTAAATATTTTCAATTTTCTCTCTCGTGTCCTACTTCTGTTAGAGTGATAGACCTATATGCATGCGAATTAGACACACGTCTATTGCCAACATTTCCCATAATTCATTTTTATCAATTTGTTTGGGCCCATACTGTCGAATTGCATTTGAAAATGTATTCTGAATGTCATATTTCCTGGCGCCGTCTGGCATACTTCATTTAAAAAGCCTCTATCAATCGAGTAATAAATTCTTTTAAAAACAATAAGTGACTAATCGTATTTTTCGGATTCAAAGTGATACATTTATTTACAATGCTTACATGGCATACAATTACACAAAATGCACCCGTAACAAGTGTAACGTCAATATTTATCAATACTAACTGTTATTACTCTTGTGTTACTTATTTACTTGTTTGTCTGTTTGTTTAATTTGTGTGTACATAGGATTGGATCCAGCAGGACCCGAGTTAGAGTTATATGGGAGAAGAATCACATAAGACTTTTATGTTTTTTCTTGCCGGTTTCCTCATACACGCACACACACACACACACACATATATATATATATATATATATATATATATATAAAATTGCATTTTGTGTTTATCTTTCGTTATTAAGTTGTTTGTATGTTCTTTACTTAACTGTAAATATCTATGTTATAATTATGTATGTTTTTTATGGCGAATGAAATAAAATGAAATGAATACAGATTCTTGGTTATATTTTGGTAAAACACTCTTTATCAATATATATAACACAAGATAAAGAGGGGGGGGGGTGGAAGGGGTTAAATCTCATTATCATAGACTGAGCACAGTCTTTCTTTATGTACCTAAGCTTGAGGTCTATGCCATTCTTTCACATAACCTTCATATTCCAAATTATATCCCTAATGTGCCTCATATGGGAAAGGCCTATAGCATAATATTGACACTACGTAACATATTAGATTTGAAAAGGAAACTATAATTGGCATTTCGTGCCACAACTGCCTGTTATAAGAAATTCAATCAAAAAACTGGCTATCCCCACACACGAAACAGACCACAAGGCATTTGGTCTCAGTCTTCAACCACTCGGTATTCTAATGGGTATAAAGACAGGTGGAATCGTCGTCACGTTTCCTGGAAGCAGGGTAGGAATAAATGGACTAGCAATATTCTCGAACCCTTTAAAGAAATTTGTTGGCAAGAATATTATAATATACACACCTAAATACCTAACCGGCAAGAAATGGATGTGTGTGTATACCTCTGTGTAAACCCTGCGTATTGTTATATCTTCATATGTTTTCATCATTAACCAGATCCTATTTATATATTAAAAAAATTCGTTCATGTGTAATATAAACTGATGGGTCCGATCACTTCAAAGATTTTGCAATCTA